TCAGTAGATAAATAGACAAATAGTCATCAATAAGGGGTTTGACAGAACTGAGGAATAAAAGCGTTTGATAGAATTACTGTGGCTGATGGGCCGGCATCTGCGGCATCTGGCTTCACTCTGTGTCCAAAAGCTACAGGAGATGTGACAGAAATTTTTAATCTTAAAAAAACAGTTGCGTTTCAAAGTGTGTTTATTTCTTTCTGTCTTTGTCAGGACTTTTTTTTTAATTGGACTCAGGAACAAGCTTTGGCCATTTGTTAAAGATTAACCCACGAGTGTTTTTCATCTCTGTTAAATACTTCTGTGAATGCACAAGTTCAGCTTCCTGCTGATTTAAGGATTCCCACGTTGTGACATCACAGGCCTCAGGTCTCAGCTGATTGGCTCTTGGCTGTGAGTTGATATGAAACGTTCCAATTGCATGTTATTAATGTACTTTTCTAACATAAGATGACACACCACACCGATATTAGCCCTTTGATCATGGGATGTTGGCCTGCCAGCGTGATTTTACTCAACAGCTTCAGGCATGTCAGGCTCACTCACTCACTCAGCCCCTCAACCCTGCCTGACCCACCGGTGGGTCCATCATTATGAACTCCTGATGTGCAGCCAAATGATTTTCAAGCCTCATTTTAAATTCTAATCAAAAGTCCAAAGTTTCCAAAGACAGCAAACATGTCAGGATCCATTACTGCCAAATATGTGATAAATCCTGTGTCTTCAACAGGGGGTCCCAGATCCCTCAGGGGTTCAGAGTTACTGCAGGAGGGATGCAGAATTATTGTTGGATTATGTTTTGAATGTTTTTTTCTTGAAATAAATGTCTGGAAACTTGAATCCAACATATTTTGCCTTTTGCAACAGCTTGTCTTTGTGCGAGTGGAGTTTCCTCCCTCACCCTCCTGACAAGCATATACAGGTCAAGAGTCCAGCCTGAGGCTCATATGGCTTTCTGCCGACAGCCTCCATCCGCCCAGTTTAATATGCAGTGCAGCTTTGTACTACATATGCAGTAGGAGGTCCCTGCTCCGTCTCTCTGTCCTGAAAAATGTTAAAGACTCCTGTGTTAAATGACAAGACAAATGCATCATGTAACAGTTTGTAGTAAAGGTCGACGGGGGTTTATCAGTTTATAGGTTTGGCCAGTTGATTGGTGCTGATAGGACATTTTTCAAACTATTGTTATTGGTGGAACTTGCCTCTGAGAGTGGCCAATGGCTGCACAGCCTCCTCCAATCATGTATACGTAGCGTACATCGCCAGCCGGAGTTGAAGGAGGGGGTTGTGTTTGAATGATCAAAAAGGAGCTGTACCCACTGATCAGAGAAAGCAGCTCCCCTCTGCTGTGCGACCGTGTCTAAGTGTAGGCCTGCTCTTCATTTTAACTTGTATTTACATGAAGTTTTTGCCTGGTCCACAACAGCTGAGTCAGTGATTGAGGGAAGGCTGCCACTTCCTGTTTGAAATTAAAAGCCCTCAATTCATGTAAAAGCTCTCTAGTATTTTATACACAGTCCAGCTGTACACCATGTTTTGACCTATTCTTATTTTTATGTTTTATGAATCATTGAAAAAATAATTTAATATTTAAGAAATACAAAAGTGGCCCTGTATTCAGTTATTGGCTTTTCCCCATTTTTCCCAAATTTTCCTTGAGGGTTTTCCACCACAAAGAGTTCTTTGGGTTAAGTTTGGGGAAAAAAGTCATGGTTTGGGTTCAAATTAATAGATTTCTGTCAGAGATGGCTTTCTTGGAGAAAGCCCACAAGTACAGCTTCTCCCATGTGCTTATTATAACTGCCTCTAGATATCCATTATTGGTCGACCTTTTGTTTAAAGAGCACCATCCCATGTTTAAAGGAGTATTTCAACATTCAGGGAAATAATTGCCATCTTGCTGAGAGTTGGATCAGTACCACTGTCATGTTCATTCATTCATTCATTTTCCATCACTGCCTATCCTGTTAGGGGTTGCCTATCCCAGCTGACATTGGGCGAGAGGGTCTCCAGACTATCACAGGGCTGACACATAGAGACAGACAACCATTCACACTCACATTCACACCTACGGACAATTTAGAGTCACCAGTTAACCTGCATGTCTTTGGACTGTGGGAGGAAGCTGGAGTACCCAGAGAAAACCCACACTGACACGTGGAAAACATGCAAACTCTGTTTTTTGTACGAACTAAACAAACTGATGAAAATAGGTGCTTGTAGGTGGTAAGGGTGGGAATCTCCAGGCACCTCACGCTTCCATTCGATTACGGTTCAGAGGGTAATGATTCAATAATAAGAATCAAAATGTTTGATTTCATCACCTGATTTATTTTTCTCTTTCTTTCAAAATAGAGCATACTTTATTTTTGGTAATCCATAATTAAATAAACAGATTATTTTAGTTGCATACGATGTGGCTCTTGTCCAGGTCCCTCTCCACTTCAACCCACATCCATACCCTCAGTTTTGAACCAGGGGGTGCCAGCCGGATTGTATCCATGATCTGCGGATGCTCATCCATTGTGGGATATACATATATATGGGATATACACACACCTGTCCAGTATTTGCATAGCCTACTGTAATATTTCCCCTGAAACAGTATGAATATCACAAAATAATAGATAACTAGTTAACTGCATTGATGAATGAATGAATGAATGAATGAATGAATGAATCATCATCTCGTCCGTGCTGTGGACTGTCCAGGTGCTACACTTACTTCGCAGTTGAGTTCCGCCTTCCTTTTTTTCTTTTGTTAACATTATTTTACGAACAAAAATCAATATTGACATTTGTGAATCGATGCTGAATCGTCCCCCCCCCCCCCCCACCCACCCTTAGTAAGTGGATGGATAAAGCCAGGCTAGCTGTTTCCCCCTGTTTCCGGTCTTTAAGCTAAGCTAAGCTAAGCTAACCGTCTCTTGGCTTTAGGTTTATTTGTACAGACAGATGAGAAGCTTGATACCACTGCCTAACTTTAACCAAAAAAGCAGACAGACATATTTTCAAAATATCAAAAACAAACCAAAAGTTATTTAGTGATGTATTAGTGATTTTAGCATACTGGCAAGTATGGAATCAGCAGAATATGAGCACTTGAAGAGGCCAGTCACAGTATTGACATTATCCCAATCCTGATATTCTCCTTCCCCATCACTGTCAGCCAGGCCTGCATAAACTCAGTGAAGTAGCCTTTAAAGTTGAGCCCTGCTTTACATCAATACAACCAAATGTCTCACAGGACTTGTGCAGACTGAGATTTTAATCCTCATGTATACAGTCTGGCTGCAAGGCTTGAGAGAGCTCGGTATGGGGACTTGTTTGTTTACACTGATGGATTTTTTTTTCTACATCGGCCTCTGGACGTGTCTGGTTTACTTGTTCGGCTACCGACAGGCTAACACAGCTGGTGGCTAATGACTTCACACTTGAGGGGATAGACGTGTTCTTCCCTCAGAGACGACTACACATGACTCTATCTACTCTACTGAAAGCCGTGATTGTGTAAAGATTAATATGTTTTGCAAGCAGCTGGCACGCTCATTTTAGACCACAGGGCATGAAGGTGACCATTAATTACCCTGTTGGGTTTCACTTGTTCCTGTCTAATTGGTTTACTGGTTTAATTAATGCAAGATGGTTCTGAATTGTTTTGTCACAGAGCATTGGTGGCAGGGGTTAGATAAACTCATAGCCAAGCAGCTGTGCTGTGACAGTAAATAAAAACAACGTTGGTCTTGTGCAGAAATCGTAAAGAAGTGTTTTATTCAGGGTTAACTGGCCGATGCTGCAGATAAGTGGTCCATTAGTTTCACAGCTAATAAGTTTGTCTTTGCTTTGGACCCTTTTAAACTAAATCTTTGGGGTCTTTATTAAGTTATTTTATTTTATAAGGAAACAAAGTCAAGTCCTCTCTGAGGCAATGGGAAGCATAATTTCAGCCCCTGCAGTGTTGACCGAGATGCTCTTGAAACCAAGGTAACAACAAAAATTAGAATAGATTTGACCATGGACTTAACATTTTCTAACCAAGGCTGCCATAATCTGTTTCTCCAGAGCGCATTATTTGCCACTTACCTGTGACTTTGTGATCAGAATTTGAAAAGAGAAGATGCCATGTGCGGAGTTTGCATGTTCTTTCCATGTCAGCGTGGGTTTTCTCCAGGTACTCCAGCTTCCTCCCACAGTCCAAAGACATGCAGGTTAATTGGTGACTCTAAATTGTCCGTAGGTGTGAATGTGAGTGTGAATGGTTGTCTGTCTCTATGTGTCAGCCCTGTGACAGTCTGGCGACCTGTCCAGGGTGTACCCAACCTCTCGCCAAATGTCAGCTGGGATAGGCTCCAGTGCCCCCGCGACTAAGATGCCATGATGTTTTCACTTAGACTTATTGATCCTGTTTACACCTGGTATTAACATGCATTTCAGGGATCCGAACACAAATGGAAAGCTGAGACACATCGCCAGTCACATATGTGTCTATCATTCATCTCCAGCTGACCATGTGTGGTCAGATTACGTTGCTGCCTACGTTACTTACACTGGAAGGTCAAAGAGCCTCACGCACAGTTATTACATCCACATTCTTGTTACCTGCTTGCTAGCATGCTCACCAGTTGTGTTAGCGGTTGTGTCGGTGCCAGAAGATATCGCTGTCAGCAGAATTCAACATGTCTCCCTCTATAGAGCAAAATGATGCACGGTCAACACTTTGTCCAACTCGTCCAAAAATGACCACCACATCCTGCACCGATGACATAGTCTTTGTCGGGGATGCATCAAGACACATTAGCATTTACACTACAAAATATATGTGGTCAAATGCGTCCCAGACCAACTCAGCAAGTGGTCTGAGCGATCGACTCACAATGCGTCTTAGTGGTCCCGTACTTAGCGCTTTCCACTTGTGATCGGATCACCCATGTCAATACTAGGTGTGAACAGGCTCATCGTTTAATGTGCTGAACTCTAACGTCTTGTTTCTCTATTGACAGGGACAAAAAGGTCATCCTGGTCCTGCTGGTCTCCCAGGTGAACCTGTGAGTACTTCAATTCTCTGTAATCATGGCTACAGCTCAATGTCACACATTTTCTCTTGTGTATAAGGTACACTTACTAGAATTTTACTCACAGTATCCTCACCAGTCTACTGCTACTGTAATGCAATTTGGGCAACATAGTAAAAACACAGCAGTAATCGCAGTGCCCCCCTTAGGTCAATAAGTATAATGAGAAAGTGCTGGAATGCAATTTATGCTATTTTGTAAATGCGTACGATAAACTGTGAGGTGAGATGCATCATTGCCCCCTTAATCTGAGGTGAGAAGGCGAATGCTATCACAGGGGTTTGAGACAATCTTGAGGCACTCGAAGGGGATTTTCCGAACAGCAGGAGTGGCATCTGAAAACAACTAAAATGTGATTTCTCTGGTTCCTCTGACACAATCCCTCCTCCATCTCTTTGAAGTGTTATCACGCTGACCTAATCCGCTGCATGCTGTTTGTCTGTCTGCTGGCTGCACTGTGTTAGCTGTATGTCAATGTATGTTTACTCATCGAATAGGAGAGCCAAGAGTCTCCAGAGACAGTTCCCATAAGGCTCCGGCCTGTCTTTCCATTTATAGTTACAAAACAGGCAAAAATATTAGCATGGACACGTTGGCGCGTTAAAAAAGAGGTGTGGGGCTGTGGGGGATTACAGTAAGAGAGGAGAGACATTACACATTAGTTGTTCGGGATTCTTGGCGGGAAAAGAGAGGGAGAGATTTTTGGCAGGGGTACAACTGGGCTAAATAGTTTGGACACCCCGAGGTCATTCCTCCTCCTTCCCCCCCTCCTTCCTGAGTCCAGACCCTGTGTACTATCTTTGAGAAGAATGTGCTGTGTCACAACGAAAAAAAAAAAAGAAGAAGAAAACTTTTCCTGTCTCCTCCAGCGCTCTCTCTCAAGAGACGATACGCTCTTTTCAGTGGAAAATGAAATAGCACATGGTCTAACATGCAGAACAGCCAGTTATGATTGGCCCTGTAATGCATTCTGAGTCTTGTTATTTTTATTAGTGAAGTCGATTTGTTTTATAATCCAGAGAAGATAACTGGCGACACCTTGTGCCAGAGAGACATTACTTCTTGGTTACTGAAGACACTGTTGATTGACTATTAATTGGGTGGAACTCACTTAAAGGGACCCTGTGGAGTTTTCTAAAGAACAAGCATATGGCTTGTTTTCAGTGTTTGCCACCAGAATGCATTGTGTGCAACAGATGTGTTGAATCCATTTAGCATCTTCTTGTGTCTGAAATCTGTTCCTATTTACTATAGAGTGCGCTTCTATGTAATGGTCTAAATCTATGGACGATATGGTGCCTTAAAAAAAAAAACAGTTGACATGGCACGAACATTACCGTCTGCTAACAATCCCACAATCCAACGCACAAAATTACAGTTGTGTTCTTCACCTTTAAGTGAGGCTTAAGTGTCCGAATTGATTTACTGCTCCCTAAAAGGTAAACTATTGAGCGTCTGTTACAAAGGGAGAAGTGAATGTGTAAACAAGGGAGTGATTTTGGACGCAGATCGGCAGTCTTCTTCCCTGCCTTTAACTAACACATTTCTATGTTTCTTTGCACGCTACTGCCACCGACTGCCGATCAGTGGAACACTGTGGTTTGCATTCACAAAGCATTATCGCCCACTTCAGTCAGCAGGGATGTGTACAGGGTTTGAACGACAGCGGAGGCAGATAGAGCTCCTAATAAGACACAAGCTCCCCTGAAAACATGATGTGTGAAATTTTGGAGGATTTCTAGACTATTGACAACATGCTCTTTTTTGCTGTGCATCTTCATCATCATGGATCATGTATGCTGGTCTGTTGATACATGACCCTGGCATTTGGTGTCTTAAATTGGAACACCACCTAAATTGAGAATTCCAGTATGTTATTTCCACACCAAGGAAAGTGCCATCAGTATTTCTGAACATGAACTTTTCTCTCTCAAAGCCAGAAAGCAGAGAAGTAAGACCCAAACTTGTGAGGTCATACGGTATAAAGGCTGAAGCTGCTCCATAGGCAATGAACGGGAGCCTGATTTTGTGGACACACAGAATGTTTGTTTTCTTTTTAACACCCAAATGAGCTTTAATCTATTGATGTGTTCAGTTCTTTATACCCCATGACATCACAAGCTTGAGTTTTAGCACAGTAGCTTTTGGATTAGGGACAGAAATGTTCACTTTACTAATACTTTTGGCCTGTCGTAGACCATAGGAGTTAAATATATGACTTTTGAAAATAGGTGAAGTTCCCCTTTAATTGCAGCAAGGAATTACTTTGCTTATCTGAATTTGTTAGGTAACTTTAAAGGAATACTTCACCCACAAAATGATCCTTTGTAGATCAAAAGAAAACTTTGTCTATCTTGCATGCCCTCGTAGAAAAAACATATTGATTTATTAACTGATAGGGCCACATTAAACAACAGCAAAAACACATCAAAATATTGTCTTACAAAACTCTCACACAACTCCTAAAGTATAATCCTTAGTAGTGGAGTCTGGCTTTGAAGAGAGCAGCCATAGGTTTCACTCTAAGTTCAGTTTAAAAGGTTTTTCAGTAAAAATGCATGTGTTTGGGAAGCACTGAGCATATGACTGGATAAATGAGACTTGGATTGTACTGCACGAGTTATACGAGAATTTGTAAACAGATGTTTTGATATAGTTTGCAGCTGTTAAACGTGGTCCCCATTTAATTAATAAATCAATATGTCCGCCATTTTCTGTGGAAGCATGCGAGAAAAACAAAGTTATCTTAATGAATTCAAGGTAACAAGACATGACTAATTGATTTACAAACGGTCATTTTGTGGGTGACAAATTCCTTTAACAGCTGGTTATGAGGACTAAATACCTTGTCGGCAGCCTGGCTTGATTTCATGCTCATACATTATATGTTAATGGGCTTATTTGCCGTTTGACCTATCTGTGTCTTATTTGTGTCGATAAACTATAGACCAATGGTTCCGAACTGGTGGGTCACAGGTACATTCTGAATGGACCGTAAGTGACTTGCAAACATGTCAAGTTTGTAAAAAACACACCATATTTTAAAGTACAGTGAATTTCTGGCACACAGCTTTTATTTTGAAGCCCTATTTCCTGCTGTGGAGTGAGTGAATAATGGACAGCTACTTAACAGAGACAGCAAACAACCTTGACAACATGGCCAAACACAGTTATGACACTGAATATAATAAACTGTGTGGACCTTGAACTAACGACTAAGGAGAAATCTGGACCCCATGGCTGGACCAGTTGGGAACCGCTGCTGTAGACCATTTTAAACTTGACAACGTAAACATTATAAATGGATGCTTTCGTATTTCCTGTTGAAATATTTTGTAGTTCACACAAATTAAATCAGCTGACAGGAAGTAAACATAGTCCCAGGCAAAAAAAACAAAACAAAACTATGTGTCCTTACTAGCAGAATATAAGATAGGAGCAAAACATGAACCTGCTTATCCAAAGAAAACTGAAAATCAAACAAATAAGGTCTTGAACGTCCTTGGTCAGCAGCCTTTTAATGAACCAGGTAATAACCAGTAATGAACCTGTGTTTATTTGCCAGCGTCTTACTTTACCTCTCTGCTTTTATTCCTATGTATCCCTTTTATTACAACTATGCTTCCATTACTACAACATCTTTTACTACTGCTACTATGACTACTGTTTCTCTGTGGCCATTTGCAAGATTTACCATATCATTTTTGTTATTACATTAACATTTTGATCTCTCATACCGCATTAATTATCTGGATCTCTGCAGTAACACATCTGTCGCCAGTGTATAATGACTGTGGTGAGCTTTCAGTATGCTGTACGAACAACAGCCTGTAATTTCTTGCATGCCTTCGCTAACTAATCCCGTTTTACTCTTCCCATACATGTCGAATTAAACATTCCTCTCGGAGGGTTGCATTCGGTTCGGTCTCACCACAAGGAGGGAATGACTCATGTATTATACTGTGCGTTGATGAGGGTAAACATATTAAGGCAAAACTGTGCTCACAGTAGTCTTAACAGCGACTGCATTATAATAGCACTTACTGTCGGATTAATTGAACGGTTCGAGTGGTAATGTCGACAGTGGCGCCGCTTTCCTGAGGCAGCACTGACTTGACTAAACAAAAGGTCCTTATTGAGAAGCGGAGGGATGTAAATTCCTCTCTAGGACCAATTGACTGTTGTTTATTACTTCATAAATAAAGCGCTTGTTTTCCATTTTTATACTGTCTGTCTTATTATTGCAATCAGTGAGGCTCCAACAGAAACCATGTGTGCATTAAAGGAACCCTTTTTTCCTATAAAATACTGCCTCCCTCCCTCCCTCCTTCAATGCTTTCTCTCGTCCTTTCCCCTCTTTTAGTCTCAAGCCCTCCTCTGGTGCTGATTTCTCTTCCGTCTTTCTCTCCACAGGGTGAACGGGGAGATGATGGAAGCCCTGGGGCCAAAGGCTATCCTGGCAGGCAGGTGCAGTAAATCTAGTGTTGCGGTGCTGGTTGAGCAGGGCCACACACACACACACACACACACACACACACACATCAACATGGAAACACAGAAACACACTCACATAGAGTCAAAAATAATAAATGGAGGCGAGGATATCAACTCTATTGCGAATTTAGCTTTTTGAAAATATTTTGGCCTTTTAATAAATCAAACTTACCGTCAGAATGATGAATAAAACCAGGGTTTCGGGGAAAACGCCAAATCCTTGTATGTTTTCTGTAGCTAGAAAATAATCTAATTTAAAGATATTGGATGCCGGCGAAAAGTCCCAGCCATCGGCGTCTCAGTGTCAGCCTGAAAGAATCTCATTTGGTAAATCCAAATAAAAAGTTTGTTGTGGCTGAATGAAAGGAAAAAGGTTCTGAGCTGTTGAGAAACACCTGTGGTGGAATTTCAGCGACGGATGCCCCCGGTCTAGCGAGGAAATAAAATGTCAAAAGGTTTCCATAGTCAGCACTGCTCTGAAGAAAGGAAAGGTAATAAAAGTGTGACTAATGCCACAGCTCCCTGGGTACAAATAAGCTTCCAGTGTCCTTCCAAACTGCCAGCGTCATTCCTCGCTTCACTTCTAGGAATAGTGTTTAACTTAAGAAGTCAAAGCTGGGGAGCATTAGGGTTTTTCTCTGCATTTAAAATCTGTTTCCTCTTAGCTTTAAGAAAACTCAAACTCCACAAACAGCTGGTGGACTGCCTGCTCACTTGTCCACTCCTGAATGTTTATGATAAGGTAGAGTTCAGGCACGGGTCTTGCTGTTTTCCTCTCTGCTTTAGCACACTTACTATGTCAGAACTCTGATCCCTATAGACACTTAGTGATGTGTGATGGATTAGGTTTTAGCACCCCCTACCATCTGTGGGCTGTGAATCACCAGAGCTGTAAGTTTATGTCAATGTGTTGTACTTTGCTGTGGGGAGTTCTCCTGAGCCGAGAGTTGATCTTTAAAGTTGCAGAGGGAGATTTTCTGCACTGGTGGATTTGCTGGCAGTGTCTCTGAGAAATTAATGCGAATGCTGCTTAAGTATTGACACTGAAGATGCCAGCCAAGAGGCTAATTAGAATTTTAAAACAGATGCTAAAATCTGGATAAAGTTGCTTATCATCAAGTAGTGAGAATTTCTAACCTGGTTAGAGAGGCCTATCATAACATTTTCTTTGTTCTCCACTTAAAGGGACAGTTCACCCCCAAATCAGCAATTCATATTTGTCCTCTTAGTAGTGCTGTTTATCAAGCTTGATTGCATCTCCAGTGTTTGCGATATCTGCCATAGAGGTATCTGCCGTCTCTCGAATATAATGAAATACGATTGCACTTGCCTAGCAGGGCTCAGAGTGCCAAAAAAATTGATTTTAAAAACTCAATAGCAATGTCTCTTTTTAGAAATCATGACCTTGTAACTGAAGATAATCCACAGACCTTGTTGTGAGCAGTTTCATGTAGGAACTCATAGTCTGTTTCTTTGCTACTCTTCAGTTTACTGCCCTGCGCACCACCCAGGTCTGGTGGAAGCTAGATAGTGCCACTGCTCATTTTGGCAATCACCACTGGTAATGCCATCCTGACCCAACAATGTTGCTTTTGAAACACTGTGCCCACCCTCCGGTCTCCCCTCAGTTTGCCTTGGTGAGCAAGCAGCTCAGGTTTGACCGGCAAACCCCCTTTAACAGCTCTGTTATCACTGTTAGCTTTGTTAGCGCTGTTAACAGTGTTGGCACGGCTTGTGGTGCAGGCAAGGTGGCTAAAAATGAAGCTGCTTACTCACACTGAGGGAGAGACTGGAGGGTGGCCACCAAGTTTCCGCAGCAAAATCTTCCTGCTGCCAGTATGGCATTACGCACATCCTGCTGTTTTGTATATATTTTGCAGGGAACTGGCAGCAGGGCTCTCTTTGATGACATCACAAATGTTGATTGACTGAGGCAGTTGTTGTCCTAGGGCTATCATACAAAATGTTTTTCTCAGTACAACAACCACTTGGCAAAATCAGGACATGCATGGCATTACCAGCGGTTATCGTGAATGAGTTTTGCCACTAGCAAGCTAACCTGTGGAGACCGGAGGGTGGGCAGTGGCACTGTGTTTCTGCACACCAAGTCAGCAAGCCGACTGTCTGTCAGCAAAGCCAATAGAAAATGAAATAAAGGCAGGACATTTACATTGCGAAACATTAAAATTTCACCACCTCAAAATGAATAGTGCTTTGAAATGTGGTGCTAAAAAGTAAGGAGCGCCAGGCCAAAAGAAAAGGCCTCTTGTACTTTATGTCATTTTGTAATTTTTTTCCTAAAAATTAACTGATCAGGTACAGATTCAATGGTGTTGGTCTATCAAAAGCAAAATAAACCAAACCCGACATCCATCGTAGGCACTTTCTTCCTACTGTGCATCTAGCATCAAGCTATCTCTTGCTAGCTCACCTAGCACCACTGAGCTAGCTAACGGTACAACACAGCTGAGGGGGATGCTATTAATGTTGATGTCCCACACTGTCACAAACACGAGCCTCTGGTCCATGAGTACATGCATGCTTGGCGATAACAGTTGGTGGGGATAGTTTGGTTGAAAGAAAACAGTTCCTGCATGAAACTGCTCACAACAAAGTCTGTGGATTATCTTGGAGTAATCAGGTCATGATTCTGTAAAGAGACATTGCTGTTGAGTTTTACAAATTTACTTTTTGGCACTTTGAGCACCACAAGCTAAGTGCCATCTAGTTCCATTATGTTGGAGAGAAGGCAGACATCTCTACAGCTGATATCTCCAACATTTGGCAACTCACACCAAAACAATCAACACTGATAAACAGCACTACAGGTAAGAGGAACAATATGTATTTTTTATTTAGGGTTGAACCGCCTCTTTAAGTACATAAACAGTGACACAAATGAGGTTCTGCCAATGTTTGTAACCACAGAAATATGTGTTGTCATGTGTTGCATTTAGGGTTTACCGGGGCCTGTAGGGAAAATGGGGCCAAAAGGAGTCAGGGTAAGTAGATGTTGGAGAAATTACAGCTTTGGCATGGATCTGCATTGTTAAACTCATTAAGGCAGTATGTTTCGGTCATAAACAGGTGCTTTAAAAGTAAATACTGTATATCTCCCACTGTAACAACCAAAGTGTTTAAAGCACCCTCTGAATGACTTTCTCTGTTTACTTGTATTTCATGCTCTCATCATGCACCCTCACTCGGCTTCTCCTGAAGGCCACAGCGAAGAGAGGCATGACTCTCCTCTTTATAGTAAAGCGTCCTTTCTTTAACTTTCTTAAACGAACTGTGAAATGCCTGCTAAATGAATTACCTAACCAGTGTGGGTACATAAAAAGGCCAGTGCCATAAACGCCACTCTTCTGCCGTTGTTAACTCCATGATGATAACGACAGATGGTTTTGTTAGTATATTTGAAGAACTGTAGGAGCAATTAACTCTGGCTTTCTCTTATATCCCTTTCGGTGCTTGCTGTCCTCGTTAATGTTGGCCAAATATCATAAAACTATATTGCTCTGCTGCTGAGCATAACCATCATGCATTTGTTAGCTTCTCATTTAATGTCATTGTAATTTGCTTTTCCGTCCTTTTCGCCGCTTTTTTCCTCCTCTTCCACTGAGCAGGTTTGGCAGCGAGTTCTTCAGAGATCCCTGATGTGAGGGTATGTGCCCTTGGACTACATCGTGGAAGCCAGCACCATGCAGTCCATGGGCATATACACTTGCCTCAAGGCTTGGCTCTACAAGACCAGTGCGCCGTAGCAAAAAGCCTGTGGTGCTGTAACAGATCAAAGCGTCACAGCTGGAGTCTCTGTAGAGATTTTTACATGTGTTAGTGTTGTTGACTTCTAACAGTTCTTCACAGTGTCCATCATCTCTGCTCAGTCTCATTGTCCACCCTATTCTGCTTTTCCACTTATCTTTTGCCTTATCTGTTCCTCCTCTCCATCTTTTATTCATCTCTCCAGGGTCACATTGGCATCCCTGGGCTTTTTGGCTTTCCTGGTCCTGATGGCGAGAGAGTGAGTATTAGTGGCTGTCAGAGTAAATGCCTGCTGGGGTGCATTATATGAACGTCCATGGGCCACAATGAAGAAATAGAAATAGATTTCATTCTTGAAGTACTGCAGGCACACTTAAGTAAATCCTATTATAAGCCCAGGGTAAAGCAAGCTGCCTTATACTGTATTGGGTCCAGCCCAGGGGTAAAGACAACCAGCACCTCAACCTCTATAATGTTTTGGAAAATGAAAATGTAGTGGTTGGATTTAACTCCAGTCATGACTCAAATTTCCATGGACCTTTAGGGCAGGTTTTGTTTTTAGCCACACTAGTCAAGTGGCGCTGTTTGATATTAACCTTTTAACTTTCAGAAAAACGTCACTAATGTTGGGATAGATCTTCTTGAACTTTGTCATAAGAACTTACAGCATAGTCTTTGGGGGATGAATTGCTTTGGTAATTCCTGTCCTTTTTATCTTGTAGCAATAGTAACATATCAAAATTCCCACAATGACAGTACAGCCGATGACTGAATTCTCTCAGCTGTGCCTTGAGCTTAATGCTGACATGGCATGTTACAATTCTAACATGCTAACCACAACTTAGCTTAAGTACAGCTGAGGCTGACTAAGCACAGTTCAGTCTGATAATAGCTGAGTCACAATGTAGAACTTGAACCTGACCAGCTGAGTCTGAATCATCATGAAATGGCCACCCTTGAAGATAAACTACCATGATTTAGTTAGTAGACAAAATTATCTCACCTCAAGGTCCATTTGGAAGCTGTTCTGATCTTTAGATTATATTTCACACATTCTCTCACTCCCAACTTGTCAAATACCGACGCCTGGTCAGTGTCTTTTCAAACTAGACTTCCGCTTTCACAGTAAATGTACAGTTTCCACTTGTGTAAGTAATGTAAATGTAACCCGCTGCCTCTGCATGCCCATCACCAGACTCTCTCTGCTTCTCCCCTAGACTCTGCACTGTGATTTTTCGTTATAGTTGCGGTGGAGTGTCATGCGGAGAGAAGGAGGCACCACAGCAACACTTAGTTACATATCTGCTGTTCTTTATCACAGTGACTGCTGGCATCCCATTCAAACTTGCAGGGACAGAGAAAAAAACTTAACTTAAAAATAATAAATCAATGACAATAAACACAACTGTCAAATACGACTCTCTGAAATTAATAAATTACCAACATAACATTCTCAAATAAGCTTAACAGCTAACAGAAAAGCTAGAGCTCCGTCGCACCAGGCTTACACAGTATCAACTGTCGACTCGTTTACAGCATGCTAGCCTCACTCATAGATTTACCTCAATAACATCGTCAAACAGTAAGAAACACGGTTTATTTATAGTCAAACCCGTGGCGAACTGTAGCCTGAAGTATTAATAAATAACAACAGTGAACAAATTGACAAAACGTGTGATTTTAGCGCTGATATTGTGACATAATGCAGGAAACTGTCAGTGTTTACCTCGCAGGGCAAGAGAAAATAAACTTTGAAAAACATGTCCATTTATTACTAACGTAACGTCACATGACACAAGTCTGTAGCTTAGTACGCTACATTGTTACTAAAATAACTTGGTTGACTTTTGGTCTCGTACAAGACACAAACAGAGGTGTCCTGGGTTTAAGTCCTGAGTTTGTTTGACACATCCACCTATGCAGACTTTAGCCCCGTTTCCACCACGTTAAAAGTCTCTGGCAGTCGGCCCAGTGAATTAAATTATTTTTTCTCAGACTCCAGCTGCTGCAAGAGGCAGCAAAACATTCGTCTTCCACTATTGACCAATCAATAGACTGCAGTGTTCACAGCTCCACCTTTTAGTACCAGATCTGTGTGCTAGGTACCCCAACAGAGGGGGGACCAAAAATGGGGACAGTACGGAACAGATCCATTGGTACCATCCACAACTTTTCACAGTGGAAACAGATAAAAAAGCGTACCAAACTGAACTGTACCGTACCATACTGCTTAGTGGAAACAGGGCTTTTATCAGTCTTTATATTATGGCAGTTGCTCGGAGCGTCACAAAATGACGCCACCCTTTGCCTCTCATACCGAGGCTAACATCGGTGCATTGGTATCTGATGGCAAGGGCCACTGCCCCAGTGTCAGTAGTTGTTGAGTTGGGGGTGAGACCGGGTTGATCACACTGCATGATCTTCATCAGCAGATGAAGTTTATTCATGAGCACATTAAGGACTTCTTACCTGTTTTAGGTTAAAAAGCTTATCTACTAATGAAGATTATGATGTAACATTAAAAGCTTCGAAATGGACATTTGAGGTTGTTTTTTTGCTCTGCTGTAGCTGAGCTCAGCAGTGATCTTTGAAGCTCAACATTTTCATTTATAGAAAAGTCGTTCCTCCGTTTTTACTCCATCCAACACTTTTCTTCTCTCATGTGTCGGGAGCATCAAAGACTCACAGGGCTGTTAGTGTGATTAAAGGCTTTAAGTTTTTATCATCTTCTGTGTTTTTACATTATGCTCTTTTATCCCTCCTTTAGCTCCTCATCCATTTTTCTGTCTCTGTCTCTCAACTCTTTTCTGTTTCCAGGGAATTCCTGGCGTTCATGGGAAGAAGGGCAAGATGGGTAGGCCGGTAAAGTTTTCTCTCAACATACTTCTCAGAGAACATTTTTAATGCAGCCTCATGAAAGTGAGGGTGTTTTGTCTTGATCTATGGACCCTTGCTTTGGTGCAGAGCTACTTTAAAGTGTATTAAATGAGCATTACTCTGACAGAGACTCCAGTTCAGTGTGAAGCCCCTTCTGACCTTAGTCGTAAATCTGTGAAGAAATGTTATGGTAACTTCCTCACTGCTAGGGATTACTATAGGGGTTGTTATAAGGGGAGAAATTCGCACCCTAAATGGTGTAAATTAATGTATTGGAAGCACAAATGTTCATGTGTCAGCAGATTACAGTTACAGTCAGATTCCTTTTCAAGATCAGAAAAACCTGGCCTCATGTTAAAGTCAGTGACTCTTCGTCTATAAATCTTGTATGATTAATTTTCTCTGGCTGAAGCTGATTAGGAAACATTGCATGTTATAAAGTGAGCATATTACCGTGCTTGTTTTGCATGAGACTGATATGATAATGTGATGTGTCAGTTGTGGGTTTGGCTCTGCCGAGTCTTTCCCCACAGATCAGAGAAGTCTATCGTCATTGGCGCCTGGAAGTAAATTTCCCATCCTTCCAGGCTTACATGGAAAATACTAATACTGCACATAACCGCTTGTGTAAATCTGATATTTTCCCAGGCCTTGTCTGGTTGTACATGTTTTTTTTTAGATTATTATGCAGTAGCGGTCAGTGACTCAGGCCGAGGCCAAAAAATACGCTCGTAATAGCCAAGTCATGAGCGAGCCGTTTCCCTTCCACTGCGGTGAAAAGTGAGGTCAGTCACTTTACGCAAGGAGTTTAATTCTGTCCTGAGTCAGCAGTAACACAGTTCAACAAACTCTGGAAAGACACACAAGAGACAGAGTTGGCATGTTTGATCCACATGTCACAAAGCCGAAAACGTCGTGAGCCACAAAAAAGCTAATTTTTTTACTTTGTGTAATTTATAAAGTTTAACAACCCCCTCCCTGATGTTTTTAACCCCATAGATGGAAAATAGTACATTTTTCCAATTTTGTTTTTTATGTAATCAGCGTTATAGTCTGTACACAGCACAATGGCATGATTTCCATTGGACCAATCACATAATGAGAAGTGTCTCACCAGCCTCGCTAAAAGTTGTTGTCAGTTTGAGAACAAAGACTTGCATGTGTTTCTGATCAAACCAAGTCGCTTATTGACATTTTTGGAAAGAGGCAAACTTTTCCACATTTCCTGTGGGCTTCATGTTGCACCAATTACTGCTTATTACTTTATCCACATAAGGCCTAATGTTCTAAATCAGCAGTCTGCCACACAAACAATCCCATCTCTGCCATCTCTTGAGGTCTTCATGCTTTCATTTGATCTTTTCCTTCTCTGTCTGCAGACAGACGACGAGAGATCTCTCCGCCACTCTCCGCCATTTCTCATTTGTCAAAGCGTGGCGCTCGCCTTCTGTAGGCGAATGCTGAGCCGTGATGTGCGGTTGGTTGCATGTTGACCTTGGCAGATTGACAAGCACACGTTGAGCATGTGGCCTCGCGGCTGCATCACGCCTCTTGTTCAGTCCCTATAATGGAATTACGAGCACCAAGCAAAAAAAAGGACGCAGTCATCAGTTTCTGAGCCAAGCAGCTTTATTTGGCCATTTAGGCAAGTCCTGGGGGTTTGGTTCGCAGGGCTGCCGAGCGCTCCCTGCCAGCGCGTGCACACACAGACAGTTGGTCGCTCAGAAACACTCAGCCGTGGAATTTCCTGCCGGTCTCCCAGGAATGAAGCACTGGGAGCGCATTTGAGGGGATTTGCTTGGCTTTACTCTGCAAACTTCTGTTTTGGGAAACACTCTGTTGATCCTCTGTGTATGTTGTGATAACTTCACTGACAAACCATGTGATATCTAAATAAATTAAAGTGTTTTGACAGTATGAACATGATGAGGCCGCTCAGTTTACCCTCTGATTACATGACCATCCTGTTTGTTTGTGTGCTCAGGGGTTTCCTGGTGACTTTGGTGAGAGGGGACCTCCTGGCCCTGATGGGAACCCAGTAAGTGAAATGATGTAGCTAAATGCACCATCTACTCACTCTTGACACGGTGCAGATCTTCATGTCTGGCCTTGAAGCCCACAAAATTACATCTGACTGACAACAGATTTTAGACTTAATATAAAACTGCACTACAGTGTGATTTACAAGAAATGAAAAACACCATCATGAGAGGAGATACAAAAAGTAGACGCATTACAGAGTTACAGAGTCGGAGCTTACTTGCATATTGTTTACAGCGAGAACATTTCATTCCTGCACAAGACTGACTGTGAGGCAAATTGGTGCAGTCATTCAGTAACTCACTCACCCATCATAATCCATACTGATATTTATGAGGCCAGCATCAGCAGTTTCACTCGCCTCTCCTCTTCCTTAAGTTTGACCCTCACTGCTCGTGATTGACAGGGTCAGTGTTAGATTTTGATTGGCTGACCCCCGAGAGCCTCCTCCAGGCCTCATTTCCTCTGTCTCCAGAGAGAAGAGGGAGGGTTGTTCCATTTGGTTGAATTCATCTTCTTTCATTCACAGAAGAGGCGACAGGAAGGCCACACTGCGCTGTGTGTCATCCATCTCTCCGCTGGATGCGTAGCTTGGAGAGGATGTAGGCATGGCATGTGGCTGCGGGTTAGATCATTTGGAACAAGCCTCTCTGTGTGTCAAGTGCCAAATGCTCACTGGCTATGCTGAAATGAGTGCACAGACACATTACTCAGGCTGCTGGTGGAAACACTAGTAAACAAACAAAATGTAGAAACATGTCTTCATGTGTGTCCTCCCCCCACAGCTCTATGACTCCATCTGACTGTGCGTTTGCTCATCTCTTCTTTATCTCTCATTCTTTGTCCTCTCACTTCCTCTCAGGGTGAACTGGGATCTCCTGGCCCATATGGAGTCCCTGGTCTTATTGTGAGTGTTGTTGTATTCTCCTTGCTCATTTTATAATTTGTAGCTTGTACACTTTGGTTTGCTTAGAAGTCTGGTAGCTGCTATTTTGAAAACAAAAAAAAAAAAAAAAAAGATTCCTTACTCACTAGTTATATAAATCTCTTCCACATCTTCCTACAGAGACATTGAGCTCAGAGAGTACATGCTTGTTGTGTATTATGAGCTCGTAAAGGAATACTTCACCCCCAAATGATCATTTGTGTATCAGTTACTCACCCCGTGCTATGTTGAAATAATGAAGAAAACAGTTTTCTTCATGTCTCCACGGTGAACGAAGAATCCAAAAACAGAAAATTCTTGATAAATTGAAGTCATAGGGGTCCATGTTTGCCAACAGCAAAACTATGGCTCAGAAAGTAGAGCTGGTTGTCCACTAATTGGAAGATCAGTGGTTCAATCGCCAGCTCCTCTAGCTCTCTCTTTGAGGCCATGTTTACATGAAAACGATCCACTGAAAACAGAATCGTTTCTCATTTTCGTTTTGAAAAAAGCTCCACGTTTAGAAGACAACGTTTTGATAACAATCGCCATGCACACGGTTCCACAAAAATGACCAAAAGCCCTGCAGTATACATGCCAGGCCGGTAGTTGGCGGTGTGACGCTTACACTTCCTTCTACAGAGTGGCAATGTATAAACAAACAAAATGGCAACCACACGAACGTTTGTCTGGACGGACGATGAGGTGGAGTTGCTACAGTAAATCTACACTATGATGGGGAAGCGTTGATAAATTCAATAGGGTGAGCAGCACAAGCAGAGCTCAGGAGTCCGCCATTGTTGTTGTGATGGTCTACTTTCTCGTGCATGCCTAGTGACTGGAAGCGTAATGCGCATGTGCGAAAAGTCTCCGTTTTCAGAGGAACTGTATATTGCAAGTTTACATGACAACAGAGACGGTGCTGTTTCCAAAAAATTGCACTCTGGAACCCGTTTTCAGGCAGCCAAAACGCCGCTGTTGTGTAAACGATCAGCCAAAACGCAACTAAAGTTCACTGTTTTCAGTTGAAATCGTTGTCGTATAAACGGTGCATTTATATCAAAATATTGGTTTACAAACTCTCACACAACTGTTTCTGTATAATCTAGTCTCATTTATCAAATCATGTACTCAGTGCTTCCCAAGTTGAACACAGGAAATAATAGTCTAACCCTACCTTGATGGGTATTTTGTTGGTATTTTTTTCATATTACTGTTGCTGTGTGATTTTGGTGAAAGTGGATTAACCTTCTAAAGGTCCAGTGTGAAGGATTTAAAGATTATTTTTAAGGTGCTTTATGCCTCTATTGACAGGACAATTGTAGAACGGCAGGAAAGGTGGAAGAGAGTGGGGATGATACGCAGCAAAGGGCCATGGGGTGTAATCAGACCCAGGCCGCTGCAAAGGACTCAACCTATGTGGGGCGCACACTCTACCACACTAGTCACCCTAAGTGTGTAGGATTTAGGGGATATATTTGCAGAAATGGAGTATAATATTCTAAGTGTATCACAATCTGGTAGTATAAATCGTTTTTTTTGTTTGTTTGTTTGTTTTTTACCTTAGAATAAGCAAACACTGGCTCTATACAGGTCCATTTGTGTTTTTGCATCAAGCACCATAGTTCTCCTACACACTTGGCACGCAGGATAAGTTCCAGTTGCATGCAATCTCCAACTTTACCGCTAGATGCCACTAAATCCACACTGGAACAAAACATACTAACTGATCGAGGCAGCAGCAGTCCAGCAGCTCCTGTGTTCAGTGAGGTAAAATTACTGTTTTTGTCAGTGGGAGTTTCCCCTTTGCCGTTTGCTTGGGAAGCAGTAAACATATGATTGGATAAATCAGACTTGGATCATGCTGTACTTGTTGTGTAAGAGTTTGTAAAGCAGATGTTTTGATATAGTTTTGCTGTTGCTAAAAGCCCCCTATGACTTGAGTTTATCAAGAATTTTCTCTGTTTTTGGATTCTTCATTCACCTGAGGCATGTGAGAAAACATTCTTCACAAATTCAAGGTAACAAAGGGTGAGTAGTTAATACACAGATGGTTGGTGGGTGAAGTATTTCCTCTAGATTTAATCCATTTGGACATTCAGTGTGATAAGTACGTGTTTTGTGTGTGTTGACATGTGCAGGGAGACATGGGCCCTGTTGGCGTTATGGGCTTACCAGGACCTCCAGGGCTCAAGGTAAATGATGTGGTTTTGTAGTGATGTCTCTCTGGTTTGGTATGACTCCAGTATAAATAGGCTGCATTTTGGCAGTTTAGTGATCGGTTAACCAGAGTGTCTCCAAGTAGTGGTTGAGCTCACTTTGACGAGAAGAAGTGATGAGTGCTTGGTGATTCAATTATTCCACAGTCTGAGCATGTAAACCTCAGTGAACAGGGGAACGCCAGGACTGCTCATTAATCACGATGAATCATTAATCATGTTTTTTATTCCAAGGGTGTACCTGGAAACCCGGGGGAACCAGGACTGAAAGGTGATAAGGTGATCTGCATACGTCTTTCTCACTCAACCTTCTGTATACAACAATGCTGGAGGTGACAAATCACAAAGTCGTATCTGTGGCTCCTGAGAAAGCTAAAAGATAACACACAGCTATAATGCATGACTTGTGTGACTCGGCACTCCTGTGGTGCATGTTGAATCATTTTTTGTTAACCTTTGGATTATTTATTCATGCTCCTTTGTGTTTTTCTCAGGGGGATGTTGGCTTACCAGGAGAGTCAGGGGAGAGTGGATTCCAAGGGGACAAGGTAGGTGTATGTCTGTGTGTGCTCAGGTGGTACAGCGGGTCATCCATAAATAATAAGATTAGTGGTTCGATGCCTGGTTTCTCCTATCTGCATGTCAGGGTGTCCTTTAGGAGACACTGAACGTCAGATTGCTTCAGACGATTAGACCAGTGACTGTGTGTGCATGGGTTAATGAATGGAAACTGCCTTGTTGAGAAGTGTAGGTGGTGTTTTTCTGTATCAAAGTGTCACATTTATGTGCGTATTGTTTTGTTTTTTTGCATTTTTTGTCTTGTTGACATGTTTACACTGAGCTGGCCTTTATTCCACAGGGTATTCGTGGCTTACCTGGGTTGCCGGGTCCTTGTGGAAAACATGGACCACAGGTATTTCTATCCTACATTTAAACACTGAGTACCAAAAAAAGTTGAAAACTAGTTTCTAGCATGGAAATCCCATACAAGCATTCAGGTACATCCCACCAGTTACCCCTCTGAGACCCATCGGAGTGCCGGCAATCCTGCCCGACATTACTGTCTTAGGATCATGCATAACTAGACAACCAAAGGCATCCATTGGTACCAACCATATCATGATGGCTTGTCGGGAAGGGGGCTAAAAAGTTAGCTGCTTAAAAGTTAGGCTTTGTTGAGGGAAAAACTGGCATGTCCGCTTTCAAAGGGGTCCATTGACCTCTCACCTCAAGATATCTGAATGAAAATGGGTTCAATGGATATCTGCGAGTCTCCCCTTTGAAGACAGCCCACTTTACGCTAGTCCCATGCAGTTTTGGGCATGCAGTACCTATATGTTATTTTCACCTATTCTAAAAATGGTGCATTTGAATATTTCTGCATACTGGGGTCCCTCAACAGTCTTTGAATTGCATGAATTGGTTATAAATGGAAAGCTGAGAGTCTTGTGGATTGAGTGGATTCAATTTTTTTTTATGTGTGATGATGTTTGCCCCGACAGTAGCCATTTCATCGCAGTGAGACCATTGTTTGAAACTTGACCTCACTGTATACAATTACCTATTGTGACCTCTAATCACAGCATTTGGAAACATTACAACCACAAACTAGAGACCTCAGGCATTCAAAAGGATGTATGGTTTTCTAAGCAGTTTTCCACTACAGAAGAGCTCACCATCTAATCTTCAAATGTGAAAAGTTTTGATACCTTATCACAGCATGGATTTTCCTGTGGTGCTCCTCAAGGTCTTGGTGTCTTAAGGCCTTTGTACACTAGTCCATTTTTTCATCCGAAATTGTTGCACGTGTGAAAATAAATAGACTTCATGTTGTGTCAATCACGTTTGCACACTGAGTCTAAAACTTTTCGTCTGTCATAAAAATTTTCACAACAAGTTCGATTTTCTGTGTTTTTTCCCATCTGTCAGAAACCTTTATAGACGTTTGACCAAGAATCAGTGAAAAAATGTGGCGGGACACAGCTGTGACAAGACAGAGGAATGGGGCGGACAGAATCATTTCATGTCAGCTCACTCTCAATAGGTCAGACAGTAATATTCCGGTGGATGATAAAGAAGAGGAGGAGGAGGATGTGGACTAGGGAGTACAGCTCTGCCCCGTCATGCAGCTGCAGTGCCAAATAACCACGGAGGTGCAAGGTTTCTGTGTGCAACGTTTTTTTTTTTTTTTTTTTTTCGGATGACGGATTTAAAAAAATGCATCCGAAAAGGACAGACTCAGTGTGCAAAGGCCTTTAATGTGGTAATTTTGAGGGACTTTTATTAACTCTTGAGTGGTAAAAAGCTTAAATTTCACACCAGATCTGTTTAACAATTGGTATCAACCCAAAAATTGCTGTAAAAACTTAAATTGAGCATGGGAATGGCCATCATATACTTCCATTGTAATGTTCTAAGTCCTTATACACTCTAAACTTTCAAAGTTTGGATAGGGGCCTAACCAAGTCGCGGTGTTTATAACAGATTTATCATCAGAAAACTTGACACAAAACAGGAGCTCAGTGATGTAGTTCCCAGCAGCAGTGCAGAGTTGGGATAATTATTATTAGATTACACACTTAATCTGGCATTGGTGATAGCACAGTTCATTTCTACACTGTACAGTATTACTCTGTATAGAGAGAGTACTTCTTTCATTTACTGAGTGATTCTTTTCATGCTTAACAGCTTTGGTGTGTGTTCTCAGTGAGTGATTGATAAATGAAATGAAGCACTGTCTATCTAATGGAGCACACAGGAGGCTGTGAGCAGACACAGCCTCTCTAAAATGTTATTCCGAAGGCTATTACTTCTTTTTTTTCCCAGAGCTGCTTCAGATAAGAGTTTTGTTCTGAAAACATAGTGGTGTGCTCACAGGACATAAATAAATCTAAGGATGCACTCAAGTTAAAAAAAATAATAAAAAATGCTGGTGTTCTAAAAGGGAAAATGGATGGAAGTCTCAAAATGTATACAAAAGCAAATTTCAGGCACTCGTGCATGTGGAAGATCTTTGGTCTGAGAAATGAATGCTAATCACGAGGTGGCATTAACAGCCCAGCAAAGAGCACGGCGCTGGCAAATTCCCCGTGCATATGCTGCCTTAGCGTTAAAACTAATCCACCAGAGTTGGCACTTGTGTGGTCTGAAGTGCCCTTAATATTTTGAGTGCTCTCTGATCTGATTTGAGATTTTAGCATGGAAAAGGCACCATACTCTCTCCTCCTATCAGAATCTTACCTCAGCCACAATGGTTCATTTGCTATTGTGATTACTATAGCTATAAAGGAACACTTCAACCACAAAATGACCATTTGTATATCATATACTCAATTCAGTTTTTCAATTTTATTTATAAAGCCCAATATCACAAATCACAATTTGCCTCACAGGGCTTTACAGCATACGACATCCCTCTGTCCTTAAGACCCTCACAGCGGATAAGGAAAAACTCCCCAAAAAAAAACCCTTTAACGGGGAAAAAAAAAACGGTAGAAACCTCAGGAAGAGCAACTGAGGAGGGATCCCTCTTCCAGGACGGACAGACGTGCAATAGATGTCGTACAGAACAGATCAGCATAATAAATTAACAGTAATCCATATGACACAATGAGACAGAGAGAGAGAGAGAGAGAGAGAGAGAGAGAGAGAGAGAGAGAGAGATGCAGGTAATGACAGTAGCTTACAACAACATTATTGAAAGTAATAATATTATAGTTATAGTTCTGGCTACTGTGGTACAATATGTTGAAAGTATGTATTAATATCTGGCAGTATACATGTGTGACAATAGTCATATGTGTATAATAACAGTAGAAGTATGACTAATGACTAATGATGGCAGCAGCAGCAGGAGGCATCTGGCAGGACCACGGCAGCAGCACAACCACACACGTCACGCTGTCCAGGCACCGCTGCGATATGAGTTAATCTGAGAGACAGTGGAGCACAAAGGCTCCGGAGAAGAAGCCGAGTTAGTGACATCCAGAATGGCCGAGTTAGCAAGATGCAGTAATAGGATGAGAGTGAGAGAGAGAGAGAGAGAGAGAGAGAGAGAGAGAGAGAGGGAGAGAGAGGGAGCCCGGTGTATTATAGGGGGTCCTCCGGCAGACTAGGCCTAAGTCAGCCTAACTAGGGGCTGGTACAGGGCAAGCCTGAGCCAGCCCTAACTATAAGCTTTATCAAAGAGGAAAGTCTTAAGTCTAGTCTTAAATGTGGAGACGGTGTCTGCCTCCCGGACCGTAACAGGAAGATGATTCCACAGGAGAGGAGCCTGATAGCTGAAGGCTCTGGCTCCTGATCTACTTTTGGAGACTTTAGGGACCACGAGTAACCCTGCGTTCTCAGAGCGCAGTGTTCTGGTGGGATAATATGGCACTATGAGCTCTCTAAGATATGACGGAGCTTGACCATTTAGAGCTTTATAAGTTAACAGTAGGATTTTAAATTCAATTCTGGATTTTACAGGGAGCCAGTGCAGAGAAGCTAAAACAGGAGAAATATGATCTCGTTTCTTAGTTCCTGTTAGTACACGTGCTGCTGCATTCTGAATTAGCTGGAGAGTTTTTAAGGACTTACTAGAGCTACCTGATAATAGAGAGTTACAGTAATCCAGCCTTGAGGTAACAAAAGCGTGGACCAATTTTTCTGCATCTTTTCGGGTCAGGATAGGCCTAATTTTCGCAATATTACGCAGATGAAAAAATGCAGTCCGTGAGGTTTGCTTTAAATGAGAATTAAAAGACAAATCTTGATCAAATATTACTCCGAGGTTTCTTACGGTAGTGCTAGAGGCCAGAGCAATGCCATCTAGAGAAACTATGTCATCAGATAAAGAGTCTCTGAGTTGTTTGGGGCCAAGAACAATAACTTCAGTTTTGTCTGAATTTAACATCAGGAAATTGGTGCTCATCCAATTTTTTATGTCTTTAAGGCAGTTATGGAGTTTAGTTAATTGATTACTTTCTTCTGGCTTCATCGATAAATACAACTGTGTATCATCCGCATAACAATGGAAATTTATAGAGTGATTTCTAATGATGTTACCTAAAGGAAGCATATATAGAGTAAATAGGATTGGTCCGAGCACAGAACCTTGCGGAACTCCAAAACAAACTTTGGTACGTAAGGATGATTCATTACGAACGTCAACAAATTGAAAACGATCAGATAAATAAGATTTAAACCAGCTTAGTGCTGAACCTTTTAGGCCAATTAAGTGATCCAGTCTCTGCAGTAGAATTTGATGGTCAATTGTGTCAAACGCCGCACTAAGATCTAATAAAACAAGAACAGAGACGAGTCCTTTGTCTGAAGCAATCAGAAGGTCATTTGTAATTTTAACTAGAGCTGTCTCAGTGCTATGATGCACTCTAAATCCTGACTGAAATTCCTCAAATAAATTATTATCCTGGAGAAAATCACACAGCTGGTCTGCGACTACTTTCTCAAGGATCTTTGACATAAAGGGAAGATTAGATATTGGTCTATAGTTGGCTAACACCTCTGGATCCAGGGTGGGCTTTTTTAGGAGAGGTTTAATTACAGCTACCTTAAAAGACTGTGGTACATAGCCTGTTAATAGGGATATATTGATCATATCTAATATATGAGTGTTAACTAAAGGAAAGACCTCCTTAAGTAGCCTAGTTGGGATGGGGTCTAAGAGACACGTTGATGATTTAGATGAAGAAATCACTGCGGTCAATTCTTGAAGAGAAATTGGGGAGAAGCAATCTAAATATATATTAGATTCTACAGCTGTGTTTGAGGTTAGATAGGTAGGCCTACCATCTGAGGGCAGGAGGTCATGAATTTTGCCTCTAATAGTTAGAATTTTGTCATTAAAAAAGCTCATAAAATCATTACTGCTAAGGGCTAAAGGAATACAAGGCTCAATAGAGCTTTGACTCTCAGTCAGCCTGGCTACAGTGCTGAAAAGAAACCTGGGGTTGTTCTTGTTTTCTTCTATTAATGCTGAGTAATAGTTTGCTCTGGCATTGCGGAGGCCCCTCTTATAAGTTTTGAGACTGTCTGTCCAGATTAAACGAGATTCTTCCAGTTTGGTTAATCGCCAATTCCTTTCAAATTTTCGCGATATTTGTTTTAACCTACGGGTTTGAGAGTTATACCAAGGAGCAAACTTTCTTTGCTTTGTTAACTTCTTTTTAAGAGGAGCTACAGAGTCGAGCGTTGTTCGCAGCGAGCCTACGGCGCTATCAACAAAATGATCAATTTGGGAGAGGTTAAAGTCGGCACGGGAAACCTCTGTTACTGAAGGTATTGGTATTGAATTTAACGACGAAGTAATCTTTTCCTTAAATTTTGTGACAGCACTATCTGATAAACATCTAGTATAGTAACTGTTGCTGAGTGGCGTGTAATCGAGTAAAAAGAAATCAAAAGTAATCAGATAATGATCTGATAGCAAGGGATTCTGTGGAAAGACTTTTAGGTTATCAATTTCAATTCCATACGTCAGAACTAGATCGAGGGTATGGTTAAAACAGTGAGTGGGTTCATGTACACCCTGACTGAAGCCAATGGAGTCTATTAATGAGATAAACGCGGTAGCCAGGGAGTCATTATCAACGTCGACATGAATGTTAAAATCGCCTACAATAATAACTTTATGTGATTTAAGAACTAAACTGGATAAAAACTCTGAGAATTCAGATACAAATTCAGAATACGGGCCAGGAGCACGGTACACTATAACAAATAAAAGTGGCATACTCCCTCTGTGTCTCATTTAATATGTAAAGGAACCTTGTTTTTTTTTTTTATGCCGCAACGGAAAACAAAGAATCCAAAAAACGGCAAATATTCCTAACAAACTGAAGCAAAAGGGGGATGTTCAACAACAGCAAAACTATATCAAAACATCCATTTACAAACTCTCACACAACTCATGCAGCACAGTCCCAAGTTTTTGCTAAAACCTCAATATTTAGAATACTTTGTCATTAACAGCGCAGGCGTGTTGCTTTATCGTGCGCTAGTCTGTTTATGCAGAAGTGTTTTATGTGGTAAGGTTTTAGCCAAAATGTCTGTGTTTGGGAAGTACTTAGCATACGACTAGATAAAAGAGACTTGGATTATACTGTAAGAGTTGTATGAGAGTTTGTTAACAGGTTTGGATTGTATCCATTGATGAATTTAAGGGCAACATGAAGAATGGGGCAACAGAGACATGTGCTTGTTTTTCTTGAGAGGCCACTGTGTTTGAATAGTTGTTGTTTTACTGTGGATATTGTATTACATGTTGTATTTGTTGTATTTTGATTTGTTTTAATTGGCTGCTACCCTGGCCAGGTCTCTCAGTGGGACTTCCTGATTAATTCATTACTTTTCATTCATTCTTTTTCTGTAACCACTTATCCTGTTAGGGGTCGGGGCGGGGGGGGGGCTGGAGCCTATCCCGGCTGACATTGGGCGAGAGGCGGGGTACACCCTGAACAGGTCGCCAGACTATCACAGGGCTGACACATAGAGACAGACGACCATTCACTCTCACATTCACACCTACGGACAATTTACGGTCACCAATTAACCCGCATGTCATTGGACTGTGGGAGGAAGCCGGAGTACCTGGAGAAAACCCACAGGCAAACTCTCTCTCTCACTCTTTCTAACCAGGAACCCTCTTGCTCTGGGGCAACAATGCTAACCACTGCACCACTGTTAAGGTTAAATAAAATATATATTGATATAGTTTTGCTGTTATTAAATGCAGCCCCATTTTACTCCAATTCATCAGGAATTTTTGGATTCTTCGTTCACCATGGAGGCATCCTAGACAAACAAAGTTTTCTTTATGAATTCAATGTAACACGGGGTCAGTAAATGATACACAAACGATCATTTTGTGGTTTAAATGCTCCTTAAAGAAAATGAGACTTTTATGTAACTTACATATGGTACATGATGTAGAAATGCGCAAAGAAGATGGCGTTTTTTAGAGGTGCCATGACTGAGGCTGATTTCTTGTCATTTTCAGAGTTATGTTAGATTGTTTAGGTAACATACATGATGTTCCCTGCACAAAACATTTAGTGAGTTTAGGTTAAGGTATTTTGTTTTCTTGTTTCTGATCTGTATGATAACAGTAAGATGATTTGTGTCATTGTTTAGGGCAAACCTGGTGAAAAGGGCCCTGATGGTTTACCTGGACCTCCTGGCCCAGAGGTAGGACAGTTTCTTTTTACTATTATATTTTGACCAGATGCATTATTGTTATGTTATTCTGTCATTGTTTATACAATGCTATGTACAATTGTGTGTGTGTCATTTTCTCAGGGTTTTCCAGGTGACATTGGCCCACCAGGACAGAACGGCCCCGAAGGACCCAAGGTCAGAAGAGAGACATTAACTCTTTAGATATGAATTGTCAGTGAGTGGAAATGAAGTAAAAGTTCACTCTCGGTGTTTCATCCACAGGGAAAGCAAGGGATTAGAGGTTTGCCAGGTCCGAGAGGAACACTTGGACTCCAGGTGGGGTTGACTTCATACATTTTAAAAATGAATTCAAGATATTTTTTTCTGTCCCTGACCTTTAGTGACTATTCTTTTGTCAGGGTGATGAGGGACCCATTGGGCCTGTGGGACCCGCTGGACTCGAGGTGAGTGCTGATTGGATAAGCCCTGCAGCTCAAAACCAGTTAGAAAATACAATAATAATCTTTTCGGATACACACACAATACCGCAACAAGTACGCCATGTGTGTCTCTGCCTAAATTTAGCGTTGGAGGAATAACTGTGACCTGTAATGGACAGTGAGTCCTTTGGCGGAGTGGCGCCTCTATTGTTCTGAAGCTGTTTTGAAAGACTTCCTATTGGACTCTGTGCACTTATATTACCAGATTGGTCAGCAAATTGCTATGCTCCTTTCTGTCATAAAAAATCATGCACAATCACAAACAAAAGCAACTGCCTTTAAATGTCAAGCTAAAATGTTTGTTTGTCACATATAAGTATGTCAGGTGAGGGATTCAGTGTAGAAGATTTAGGGGGATTTAGTGGCATCTAGTGGTGAGAATTCCAGACTGCAGCCAGCTGAAACGTGTTTCTCCGATGCTCTTTGGCATGTTGGAGACAGGCTGCGTGCCCAGCACCTACTAATATGTGCTCACCTTTTCTCTCTGGTAACTTCAGACACTCCGGAGGTTTTTACAGTAAGCCAAATTATCTGCAGAGGGCTCTTCCTCTCCAAATAAACACACCAGGTAATTTAAACTGTTAAAAACACTGATAAAGCAATTTCCCAGGAAAAAAAAATAGCATTTTTCCAATACTGCTTGTTGTAAGGGGGGGTTTCTGTCTAAAGTGGCTGACATGAAAATGCAAATGACTCTATTCAGAGCCAGTGTTTGGTCTGTCTGATCTAGGCTGCTGTAGAAACATGGCAGACTGTGGATGAGGACTTGGGGCTGGTTGCACAAAGCACCTTAAGTTTGACCCTTAAGGTTTAGTTTTTCTTTAGCTGAGGAAATTACTTAAGGGTGTTGCACAGAATATCCGAAAAAGGTTTCCTATATCAAGAAAAGACATTAAGGCATTTACTGCGCTGAAGGAGATTTTACAACATCAAAGAAGTGTGCCGCTATCTCATCCTTCTCTTGTTGGCACAGGAACTTCACAGCGGTGTTTGCAGACAGGTGCGGGCGTTTGAAACCCTGTGAATGATGCGGCACACCGTTGACTCATGTACATGAAATGCCTTGCCAATAACTGATTGGAAGGATCCCATTGCATAAAACTCTAGAGCAATTATTAATTGTAACGGGGCTGGAAGAGCGCAGCTCTGGAAAGTTGAGTGATCCAACTTCAGACATTGACAGCAATCATAAATTGACCTCCGGTTAAATTTATAGTGCAAAATTAATTGCTCATTATTACCATAAACTCAGCCATGTTGCTGTTAAGATGCAGTCAAAGGTACCTTATGTTTTTTTACTTACACAAACTTTAAGCATTTCCTTAAGTATAAGACCAAGATAAGGAAATAAACTAAAGGAAACCTTAATTTGAATTTAAAGGAAAATCTTAACTTAAGGTGCTTTACGCAACCAACCCCTGCTCCCTATGTAGATATTAACGGCTCATTCTAAGGTGACGAAAACACAGCAATTCTTATTTTCAGGTGATTATACACCAAAGAAAACATACTTATTATATTCCATTTTTGCCAATATATCCCCCTAAATCCAACACACTGGACCTTTAAGATAAAGGCAAAGAAAAAGGAACATTTTAACCCAAATCCTGACAATAATTCATTATACTGGTATTTATGTGGGAGGTCAAATGTGCAGTTAAAGTTAAATTAATCAAAGGATACTATGAAGTAACTTAAATAGTCCACTTATGTTTGTTTTTATAATTTCTCTGCCATGTACTGTATATACACAGTACTTACATATTTCTATATATTCTCAGCTGTTAGCATAGTGAGGCTGTGCGAGACACACTCAGGGCTTTATAAGAGACAAATAGGAAGGCTTTGAACTGTTCTGCAGTGTGAGTAAAAGTTCGCAATGACTATCTCAGTCCAACAACAGTGTTTGTTTGGAGTCATCCCAGGCTAAACAATAGAGAAGACTCTCTATTTTTGCAATGGTTGATTCCAGTCTGCCATCTCCCAAAGGTTGAACCCACAAGTGATTACTGAAAACAAACACAAATGACCCAGTGACTTCTGTGAGCAATAAGAAGCCTTTGATGCTGCAAACAGCTCTCTGTTTTATGGATCATTAAGTTTCTTAAAGGGATGTTTTTGTTTTGGCATCAATTGTTGGTTTGTTTTGTGCCACGGCCTCTCGAGGGACGGCAGACTCGCAGACTGCACCTTTTACAGGAGATACAGAGAGTTTATTGTTTGTTGTGTGGAGCTGCAGTGCACTTCTCTGTGTCATTTTCGCTTTCTGTTCAGGGCAGGCCTGGGAGGCAGGGATTCCCTGGACTGACAGGCCCAGATGGACTCAAGGTCAGACCTAATAGTCACACATCCACCGCCGAACCACTGTTATCCTTAACTGAACATCCTCTCCCTGGCTTTCTTTTATGATAATGTATCATCTGAATATGTGTAAATTAGATGTTAATTCTCTGTTACCACAGGGGAACGGGCCTCCTGGCACATTTCAACTGATTTGAACTAAAAACGAAAGGCATGAATAAGTTTGTGATATGCTAATTGGCTGCTTTGCTGTAGGGCGAGACCGGGATAACTGGCGAGGTCGGAAAGCTTGGCGAGAGGGTAAAGGCTTTTTCTCTTCTCTTTCTGCTGATTTCTGTTTGATGCTCACTGTGTGTCTGTTTTGTTGGAGTCCCAAAGCTGTGCAGCCTGTTATGAGATATATAACTTCAGTCGAGCTGAGAGAAATAAGAGACAGTTAAGACAGCGTATTCTCTCTCCTTCAGGGACTGCCTGGCTTTGTCGGTCCTGTCGGCGAGACTGGCATTGCAGGAGAAAAGGTGAGCGTGGTCTCAATTTGTCACACTTAGCTAGGATCACAATTTGCTGTTGTTCGTTTTAATCTGTTAAATTGCTCTATGTCGATGTAGCAAGTGATTAGTGCTGACACAAAAAGTCAATTACAGCTATAATCAACGAATTGTTTTTATCAAATAAAAATGACAAACATTTGCTGACAGCAGCCTCTCAGATGTGCAGATTTGCTGCTTTCCTCAGTATAATATTGTAAATTAAATATCTTATAGTATTTTTATTTTTAGAATTGGGAACACCAATTTGAAGGCATCACTTTAGGCTCTGTCAAACTGTGATTGGTATTTTTGACTATTTTGTAGAAGGAACAATTTAAGGCAGTGGTTCCCAACTGGTGGGTCACGGTCCAAAAGTGGGTACCGGGTCCATTCTGAATGGATCGCAAGTGACTCGGGAATGTGTCAAGTTTGTAAAACACACACTTGATTTTGAAGTACAGGGAATATCCGGCACACAGCTTTTATTTTGAAGTGCTGTTTCCCGCTGTAGAGTGAATGAATACAGCTACTTAACAGAGACAGCAAACTAGCTTGACGACATGGCCAAACCCATGAATGACGCTGAATATTTTAAAGTGTGTGGACCTTGAAACAATGACTAAAGACAAATCTGGACCCTGTGGCTGGACCAATTGGGAACCACTGATTTAAAGAATACTTTGCCTCCCAAAGATCATTTTCACATTAATTCCTCATCTCATGTTATGCTCAATTTGTGAAGAGAACAGACACAATTCTGGATGGGTTAAAGTTATAGGCAACCCAGCGTTTTCCAACAGTAAAACAATATCAAAACATCTGTTCACAAACTTTCTTGTGCAGTTTAATTGAAGTCTCATTTATCCAGCTGTGTGCTCAGTATTTCACAAACAGACAACCCTTTCCAGTATGCTCTTTTCAAAGCCAGACTCCATTGACAAAAAGAATACTACCTGCTGCTGGTCCACCGATGCCTCGCTCAGTTTTAAGGAGTTAATTTGAATTCACCAAAGTCACATGGTAACACAAACAAGCTACAAATCGAGGCAGCGGTAGACCAGCAGCTCCTGCGTTCAGCGAGGTAAAACTAGTGTTTTTGTCAATGGAGTCTGGCTTTAAAGAGGGCATAGATATGTTTCACTTTCTGTTAAGCTCCCCTCGAAAAGGGCTGTCTGTTTTGGAAGCCTGAGCATTGGATGAGATAAATGACACTTGGATTATGCTGCACGAGTTGTGTGAGAGTTTGTAAACAGATCTCTCATGGAAGCATGCAAGATGCATTTACAAACTCCTATTTACTCACACTGTGTGAGTTGTTGATATACAAGTGTTCATTTTGGGAGGTAAAGTATTCCTGTCATAATTTTTTCCTGTCAATAGTTTAGCAATGTTTCCCTAATCATGGCTTTTGGCTCCTTAGGGGGATCGAGGCAAAATGGGCGCCCCCGGGCCGCCAGGTGAAATGGGGCCGATGGTAAGGAGTAAGTCTGGACCCCGTCTCTTGTACCAAGGGGCATTCAATTCTACCTATGTAAGGGATGGGGATGTGATATGCTGGAGAGGCTGATTTAAAGTTATTAAACAATAATCACCTAATAGGCAGGTTATATCAGACCATCCAGTTTTATGATTTCTTTATACAGATATTGTTTGAATAATGTTGTATCCATCAGGGTCACACTGGAATACCTGGAGTTACGGGGCCACCTGGACCGCAAGGGATCCCAGTAAGTTTACTGTCATTGTCATAGCTCTGTGTGCACTGCATATAAACTACACTGACCTGTTGTCTGGACCACATAACTGGACCTTGTCTGATAATTAGTACCAGGCTGAAAAGCAGTGTTTTACTGCCCTCTCAGGTTGAGGGGACAGTTTGTTTCACTTCTGACTGCAACCAGCATCAGTGATAGGTATTGTGTGTTTGGAGGAGATGTGCACTGTGTTGCACTTGTCAGCACACCCAACAGTGATGCCATGGTGTACTGACACACCCTGAAGTACACATTTACTTAACTACAACAAGTTAAAAATATACTATGCAGGCTTTTACCAAAAAGTATAGTCTCATACAAAAGTAATCCCTCTCAGTCATCACTTAAGACCCACTAGAGGGAAATTGGTGATGCAGATGGTTAGGTGGAAGCCTAATTATAGAAACTGTTGAATATTTTTTGGCGTAAGCCTCTTTGGGCTTTTGTCCAAACTGTCATTTTTAGTGTGGATATCACCCATTGTTTTATAAATGAGACCCCAGGTGCCAGACCCTTAGGTGCACGCATCCAAGAATCTACAAAAACTGTGGACACAGCACCAAAAAATGCAAATATAGAACCTCGAAACGCCAAGTGGACAAAGCTGAGGTTGACATTCACTTTCCTGGCGATACAGTTTACAAATTGTAGCTGACAATACCTGCATAGTAAACGTTAAAACCACTGGAGTTCAGCAAAATAAGATTTCCAGCCAGGTACTCAATAAAGGCACTACAAAAGCAGCCGTCAGGAGACTATGGAACTTCTAACTGTGCTTTCTATGTACCTGCATTCAGGTTGCCACCATTGATAAAGATAAGGCTGAAACTTAAACAACTGTCCTTCATATCTTAGTTTCCATAATTTGCTACAGTCAAACTCAGATAATATTTTTCACACACATTCAGGGGCCTCCTGGTTCTCGGGGATCCATTGGCATCAGAGGACCGAAAGGCAGAAGGGTAAGTGACTGGCATCTGTTTTTAAAGGTTGTATAACAATTAGCGTAACGTAACTACTGCCAGTTACCAAATAATGTGACACGTCAATCTCGAAGTAGCATCGTGGCTCTAAGGACGGCAATGCCAATGTATCCTCTGGTCCAAACTGAAATATCTCAACAACACGGTCCCTTATGAAAATGTAATCTGCCCTAACCCTTTGCTAAATACCTGCAAAAGTAAAGACATTTCCATCAGCCTCAGCTGTACTTTGTCCATCCATCCATCTATCCAACCATCCATCCATCTATCCAACCATCCATCCATCTATCCAACCATCCATCCATCTATCCATTGGGCAGCAGGCCAAGCAAAGCACCCCAGACGTCCCTCTCCCCAGCAACGCTTTCCAGCTCCTCCTGGGGGACCCCAAGGTATTCCCAGGCCAGATGAGATATGTAATCTCTCCAGTGTGTTCTGGGTCTGCCCTGGAGCCTCCTACCAGTGGGACTTGCCTGTAACACCTCTAATGAGAGGCGCCCAGGAGGCATCCTGATCAGATGCCTGAACCACCTCAACTGACCCCTTTCGACGCAAAGAAGTAGTGGCTCTACTTGCGGCTGGACTTTGTGTTTAGTCATTATATGCCAATGTTAAACCCTCTAAACTAAGATGGTGAACATGTTAAACATTATACCTGCTAAATATTAGCATATAAACATCATCATTGTGAGTGCGTGCTAGCATGCTAGCTTTAGCACTGAGCTACAGCCTCACAGGGCTAAGTCCTGATTTATATTTGCTTGGAATTCCCCCCCTAGAAAAGCCTAATTCTGCTGAACAGGAAGTCGTGTATTTTACATCCCCTGCAGCAGCAACTGAAGTTTATTTGGAATAACTGGAAGAGAAGCTGTGGAACGTTACAGTAGTTAACATGAGCAGCGATGGTCACATTCAATTAATGGACCATGAAAGAGCACAAAGCAGAGAAGCGCTAAACTTCACTGATAAAATCCAAACATCCAGAGAGAATTAAATCTCTCAGAAGTGCAGAGCAAAAACAGCAGAGCCAGGATTGCTAAGGAGCCCTCTCCAAAGACTAAATAACTTTTCAGAGAGAGAGAGATAAAGCACTATATATATCTGTAGATAGTAACGACAGGATGAATCTAAACATGTGTTAGATCAGATTCTAATATGCTAAGAAGCTCGTCCCAGTGAAACGCTCTGGAGTTTCTGTCCATGTGTGTGTGTTGCTGTGTCTCCCATGAGCTCAGAATGATTCCAGTGTTCACTGGCTTTTCTATAATTGAGTTTTCTACTTTGGGAAAATAGCCCATGGTTGCACAGCGGGATCATTGGACTGAATGAATAATTGATCTTACATGAATAAATGGTATAATTAAGGCATTTCATTCTGATTGGTTTTATACGGCTCCCCTGATATCACAAGCAGTCACAAATGTAATATTTAATAACTATAATAGCTGAAAATTACATCAAGGCTTTGGAAAATAGAATAAAGACCAGCACAATTAAAATCCAGTCGACTTATTAGACTATCTGAAGTAATGCCCAGTCAACAAACATGGGGAAAAATCACAACCTTTTGTGTGCCCCAAATTTTGCAATTAGAATTGTCATGTTGCCTCCAAAAAAAGAGACAATGCCTCTACTGTTCAGGACACATTTTAAAAAATGTGGTTTCTGTGTGTGTTCCCTAAAAGGAGTAAAAACAATATGTGCGGCACAATAAATAAATCACAGGACTCCAACAAGTAGTGACAGCTATTTGGAGGATGTATCCAATCCTGTTACTTTACTTTCTGTTTGCTCTCGCATCTTGTTAAGTTGATAAATTTTTCCTCAAGAGGGTTTAGTCATACGTCAGTCATACTTCAGCATCTTGTCACCCTGTCATTCTCCTTTGTTTAAGAGCTGAATCTTCCGTGTCCTCATCCAAACTGAACTTTCCAGTCTTGATTGATGATTTGGTCTCAGGGGTTTTCACTGCACTTTTCAGTAAAAGCCCTAAAATTGGTGAACTATTCTAAAAAGCATCAGGGAAGTTTGCTGTTGGGGTTGAATTTATCTGAAAAAATGGATTATAGACGGATGGATGGTAAATGTCTGCCTTATAAAACATGTCGATCCTAATTAGTCATGTTGTCAATATAATTTCCCTCTCCTAAAAATCATGTGCTTTTTAAATGTTTTTTTAAAAAACTAGTGGCAGTAAGACAGATCACTCCTCTCGTATCGTAAAGGCGTGTCTTCATTGTAGAAATTTTAAATTGGACTGGAAAAAATTGAAGTTATCAGCTCTTATGTTTAAATGCCTCTCAGTATTAGATTAAATTAACTGAAATGACTTTTTCAGTCAAGTTATCAAAGCTCCTCTCTCTCAAAGCCAGAAACCAGAGAAGAAGGTTTCAAACATGTGATATCATAGGGTATAAAGTCTGGAGCCACTCCATAGACAATAAATGATGAGTGTGATTTTAAGGATGCACCAAAGGTTTGTTTTCTTTTTGATACCTTAATGAGCTTTATTCTATTGTAGACTCCAGACGTTATACCCTGTGACATCACAAAGTTGAGTTTTAGCACTGTAGTTTTATCTAGGATATGGGAGAGAGTTGTTCATATTTACTAATATTTTCAGACTGTCTTAGGGTGCTTTCAGACCTGGAGTTGTCTTGCTTTGGTCTGAATCAGGGTCTAATTTTGTTACCAAGCTGCGTAATTGCCAAAAAGGTTGGTTCGTGTTCAGCATTGACAAGCGGACCAGATCAAATGCCTTGCGTGAGAAAGCTAAACAAAACGCTGAAGAAGAGTAGACTTGCAAGATAAATGTGACACTTTCTAATGTCACAATGGAGGGACAACTACGCAGGTTGATTTTAGCGCTGCTCATCGTGGACTATATTGCTGTCATTGTTCATTTTAGTCAAACCATACAGTTTGAAAACAATGTTTTGATGCATTGGATGTGCTGAATGTGCATATTAAGGCAGTACAGGAGGAGGTGCACATTAATAATCCTCCAGGACTGTAACATGCTCATGTTTAACCCAAACAATGTGTCATGTGACTGCAGTTGGTTCAGATCCAGGTTGGAACACGTCCTCACCACAAACGAACCGCACCAGAGTTCGTTTGTAACCGGACCGAGACCACCTCTTCAAGAAGGTCTCGGTCCAGTTGTTTTGGTGCTCACCTGAGTGCGATTGCTGTGTTCACACCTGCCCAAACGAACTGCACTTAGTGGGCAAACGAACTTGAGTTTGATTGAACCGAACCAAACAGGGGCAGGTGTGAAAGCACCCTAAAACCACAGGAATAACATGTCTGAATTTTGAAATGGGCGTAGTTCCTCTTTAATAACAAAAGTTAAACAGGCAGAGAAGGCATGAAGAGGTCCAGGCCAGTCGCTAGAAGAAAATGCTGGCATTTTACATTACTGCAAACCACGGATACCTTATATTGCACATTTTCAACCTATCAAATCATCATTTCTAAAATGATGTAGTTCTGATTCCATGTATGAGCTACGTTCCTCATTTGGAGATAGAGGGGATGGCATGAAGTGAGACAGCTGCCAATCTGCAAACTAATGTTCAAGGCCAGGTGTGTTTCCAGCGGTGATTGTGCCACCAAAACTAGGTATTTTAAGCCAAAACATGATCTTTTCCCAACTCTAACCAAGTAGTTTTGTGCCTGGACATAACTACATGTTCACCACAGCATTGTTAAAATGTAAGTTTCAACATATCAGCTATATAATAATGTATATGTCACATGCCTATGTTTCACGAACCCAAAGAAGAAGCATCAGGCTAAAAAAGCCAATTGTACATAGTGGCTAGATGTGGAATAACAGTGACTGGGTCCATCATGTGGTCAAAAAATACTTTTTCTGTGGACTTACATTGTAAAATAGACGTCTGTAAATCAATGGATAAATATTTTTGCGCATCACAAAACTGCAAAATGACTCATTTCACCATCGGGATTTTAACCATTTGGTCAGGTAATGTTTCCTAAGTCTAGATGAGTTGCACATTTTTAACCACATAGAAGTTAGCGGAGGGCTAAACTGGAAGTTACCTGCTTAACCAGTGAAAGTCACTAAGACGCCTGCTCAATGGGCTTCATAATGCGGGAGATCCAGGTAATTTGATATCGCTGAAATCTAACTACTTTGTCAAGCAACTTTAGCAGGAATGAATGGAGCCCCGCCTTCAACGCTGTAGCCTGTTCTCTTTATACATCAGTGGTGGTTTGCAGAATAGTAACATGCGAACATTTATTCTGGCAATTGGGTTGAAAGGGCAGCTTTCTCTATGTAATGCTGCTTATTACTTTTTTGGATGATCAGAAAGCTTATTAAATTAATATTTTTACTTAATGCTTTGACAGTCATTTCACAGGTCTGATAACTGTCATCAGTCATACTTTCCCTCATAACTAAACACCACTACGTCTCAGTCCCTAAACAACAGTCTTTAACAAACCTGTCTTTTATTACCAAGCAGCAATGGAAATTTTAAGGCCTTATATACATGTATAGAGCTGTATTCTGCTCTGGCTCTGTTTAAATCACCATTATATAAGATGCTTATATGAACAACCAGCGAAAACACACTAAGTCCTTTAACATTTTCTGACAGCGAATAGTTTGGTTCAATTTTATAGGCAAGGATGAATCAGCTACAGGATTTGTGACCTTTTCCCGAGGCGCCTCTACAATAACCCCAGTGTGCGGGCGGTGCCACTATGTGTGATCGTGGACAGATGGGGGACAAAGTCCACACAGTGCAGACTGGGCATGCTACAGAGCTAATGCACAGATGCGAAGTATTTGCAAAATAGCCGCAATCTTTGATGATGTCTCTCCGATGTGGGCTGAACCACAGCACACAATAAAATCAAGAGAGCTGCCTCGCAGGCTCCACTAAATAGGGATGACAAAAATGGAGATGCATTGCCCTAATTCATTGACTTAATATGTTAAATAATGTGTGCCTCAGGTCTGTTAAAGGCCAAACTTTCCCAAGCTATTCATCAGTGACAACTTTTGTTTTTTCTGCAGGGTCTGAGGGGTCCTGATGGCCCAGTGGGGGAGAAAGGGTCCGCTGGAGTTACGGTGAGCGCATGGTCAGAAAGTCAAAGTTGGCAACATTAATAAAACATACTCAGAGTCTCAGATTTAGTTCCAGTTTGTGGCTCTTTATTAATAATGTTACTTAAACTGCCTTAGAGAAAAGTCTGACCTTCAACTTCCTAAATGCACACATAGAATCTGTCCCACGGAAAGCAAGGATAAACAAAATGTTTCTCTCACAGAGTTAAAAAAAATAAATAAATCCTGAGAAGTTTTACAAGCAGCTTTGTTCAGCAGACTGTAATTATTAACTATTTTTAACATCTGAAGAATCTTTAGAGGACACTCTTTGTTAGCTGCAAATCTAACAACAGAACCTTAAATCAAAGAGTACTAAAATATTGATGGTGCTGGTGGTGCTTGGCAGTCGGGAACATTTTAACTCTGGGGGATTTCAGAGAGCTCAGTTAACTGAGTTGTATGTTTTCTTTGCAGGGCCCTGATGGTCCACCAGGAAAATTAGGCCTCCCCGGGGAGACGGTAAGAAAAATTGGGCTTCTTTACTTTCCCCTTGTAACAGTAATGACATGATTAGCAGTATTAGCACAATCCTGGTTAGATTAGGCCTTTTGAAGTCCTCGAGGAATTACTTTGTTGGATAAATAGAGTGTGATGTCTTAGTGAGGAGTACAACAACAGTCTCATTACAGCATTCACACACACAAGCATTCATACAGTTTGATAAAAGCTGCATGCATGATCATGTAGGATGCACATCTTTATTCATTCCTCTGTCTGGTATAACTGTGCTGTTGTCTATCTTACAATCCTTTCTTCTTGGTAAGGTTATAATTTGGCGCATCCTCAGCTTGCTAATGGGCTCTGGAGATATTTAATCAGTGCAAAATCATGAGTCAATTAATTAAGTACTTTGATAACCAGTCATTTTCAGTGGTGAGAAGTATTTAAATAATTTGTTTAAGTAAAGTAGCCATACCACAATGTAAAATAGTTCATAACAAGTAAAAGTCCTGCATTTAAAATCTTACTGAATTAAAAGTTCACGAATATTATTAGCAAAATGTACCAAACGACTCAGAGTAAAAGAACTTGTTATGCAGAGAAACTATTCATGTGTTACTATAAATCATGATGGAAATGGAAACATTTTACTGTTGCTGCTGATTTAAATGTCCAGTGTGTAGGATTTAGGGAGATATATTGGCAGTAATAAAATATAGTATTCATAATTATGTTGTCATTAGTTTATAATCACCTGAAAAAAAAGTGGTGTTTTCATTACTTTAGAATGAGCTGTTTATACTGACAAAGGGAGCGAGCCCTCTTCCAAAGATTCTGCCATGTTGTTTCTACAGTAGCCCAGAGTGGACAAACCAAACACTGCCTCTGGATAGCATATTTGCTTTTTTTGTGTTGGCCACAGTAGTTACTCTACATGCTTGCAGCAGTGTCCAGGGATGAAAAATGAAACCAATACGAAAGTGCCAAAACTGCAGTACATTGAATGGCCACTTGAGGCTGACTCCAGAAATGAGTCAATTCCCATAAACCTCAAAGTTAAAATGCCCAACTTTACAGCAGAAATAAACACGTTAACAGCCTGGTGCAAATGAGGGTTTTGGTCATATAGCTAATTTTCCCGTTCACGACAACTGTACGGGGGTGAATTTTCATATAACTCAGCCGTATTCATTTTGTTAAGGCTTAAAGTTACACATATTCAAGGACGAGCTGCTTTGAATGACAGCTGTCTGCGAATAGTGCCTTCGACTTCTTAATCTGGTCCACGCCTCACTCCTCCACAGCCTCAGCCTCTCATCCAAATATGGTCACTTCTCGCTCCAAAAAAACAAGATGGTGATGCCCGAAATGCCAAACTCAAGGCTTCAAGGCAGATTACAAATTACGGTTTTGGTCTCTGTAGCTAATTTCCATGTTCATGACAACTGTACGGGGGGTGAAATTTTATGCAACTCGCACGTTAAAATGTTATTGATGCTTAAAGTTAGGCATAATTAAAGGAATGACTGCTTTGAGTGACAGACTGCCTGCTGATAATGTCCTTGGGCTCCCAGTCAGATCCACCTGTCGCTCCTCCATAGCTTCAGCCTCTTGCCCAAATATAGTCACTTCTGGCTAATAAATAAAAAAACAAAAACAAAAAAGAAGATGGCAACAGCCGAAATGCAGGAGTCCACAAACCAACAGGATGATGTTATAGCTGCTACATCATTATTTTATCCACTCAGTTGGTTGCTATTTGCAACCTCACCACTAGATGCCACTAAATCCCACACACTAGACCTTTAAGTGGAGTCAGTGGGATGTAGTTTTTTTTATGTTGTGTGGTTTAATCTACAGCAATGCAATATACAAGATTATATGTTTCACAGGGAGTATCTTATTCTGGTACCTAGTATAGCTGCCAGACACATGTAGTTTAGTTTATTTAATTTAATAAATACACATGGAATGAAAATGCCAGAATTAGCCAAAAGGCTATTTTTCATCTGTAGTCCCTTGGCTAAGATGTTACACGAGACTACCTAAAAACAAAGTACAAAAAAGCAAAGCAAAAAACAGCACAAAACATAAAGACACAAAAAAGAAAAAGAAAACAGGGCATACAATATAAAAGATGGTAGAGACAAAACCATTTCAGATGGAAATGTTGTAGTGGTAAAGCTATGCAATTGCACAAAATGGAATAGGACATCACTTACATTACTTATATATTTATCCTTCCACTAGTTTGCCATGTTGTAAGTCACTGTTCACCTCTTAGAGTAGAACTTACCTTTGTATTTGTGTCACTTTGCTGCAGGGAAAGCTTGGCGAGCCAGGTGAAGCTGGGCCTAAGGGATTTCCAGTAAGTGATTGGGGCTAACAGAGGTCTCTTTTAGGTCAGTCTTGATTTTTGGGGTGGACTCATTTTGGGGAACAGTGGTGGATACGTGGAGCTTGTGTGGCACAGTGTTACTCTTGTGGGTGCTTCAGCATTTCAGCATGTGTATGAATACCAACAGTGTGTGTGTGTGTGTGTTATAAACGCCTGTACTATTTTCAGGGTGTTCAAGGACCCTCGGGACCTCCAGGGGCCAAAGGAATTGAAGGAGAGCCAGTGAGTTTATTTTTCTATATGAAGTATGCTGTTTTTGTTCCTAATTTAGGAATGAACCCCATTATGAAAGACCTACTTTATAATAATGTTTTGTCTCTGTGTTTTTTTAATCAAATCAGGTTCAATTATGTAAAAATGTGGAATTAGCTGAATCTTTTTAAGAGGCTATAGGCAGACACCATAGTATCTCATTATCTATAATGACCTGAGGCCATTCCCAAGCTCAAGTCCTCTTCTCTCCCTTTGCATATAAACTCTAAATTCTCCACACTGACACCTTTTATTCAGTGCCTCCTATAAACCCATATCCTGGTCAAAAAACCCTGAACAACCTAATCCTCTTTCTCTCATTCTGCCCAAGTCTCGCAGACACAAGCAGAGAGGTAGTGAGTCTGAGACAATTTGATTTACACCATTCCCTTCCTGGAGAGGCAGCTTTATTGTAGCCTGAATGTGTCTCTATAACAGCAGGCCTGTTTCCATCACTTACAGAAGCTTTGGCTCAGTGTTTTGAAGGCTCTTAGCCCTGCAGATTAACTTATCTCCACAAATCCACACTTTCTGCCTGGTTCTTATTTCTTTTCACATTTTTCCTCCTTTACTGTCACTTTCAGAGGCATTTGTCCAAGATTAGAAAGTACTCTTAACCTTTTTATTGGTGCCTCTGCGTTGTCGCCGCAGGGACCAGCAGGGCCACCGGGAATGATTGGGCCACTGGGGGAGATGGGGCCAAGGGTGAGTTTGATCACACAGCTGGTGCGAGAGCTCCCATTGACTTTTACATTAGCATCAAATACTAACGGCTGTTTATGACAGGGGCCGCCGGGGAAGGCTGGAGAGCGGGGACTGCCCGGTGAACCTGGAGAGAAGGTGAAGATGATGATATGGTGTTGACATTTTCATTGATTAGATGTTAGGCTAGTGGGTGTGTACTTTTGTTTGTGTTTTACATCATAAACATTAGGTGGAAAGATGACATCGTAACAGCTTTTGATGCCATGACTGGTAATGGCCATTAGGGGGAGCACCTCCTATTCCTCTGAATTATATTTGTACCTCAATCTTGAGAGAGAGATGGGATACAAGACACATGAATTATATATTATACAGAAATCATTATCAGGATTATTGGTTACACAGGAAGTAGGGAAGCAGTGGGAGAGTGATAAGTAACTACTGTTAACTAAGCTGGTTGTTTACAACAGTGGTGTCAAACATACGGTCTGCAGGCCAGAACTGGCCTGTCAAAGGGTCCACTCCGGCCCACTGGATGACTTTGCACACTTAATGTTGATGCACTTGTGAAGTCAAAGAGGTCTTTTACATTGTGCAAAATATTGTCAATCATCTGTATCAGACTTGTCTTAAGGCACTGCCAAAATATTTCATTTGTAAATGGGTTGTAAGACAGGGGTTAGCTTAGCTTACCGCCTCAATAGCATCCATTTTAAGTGGAAGTGTGGTGATGCCAGTATTGTTACACAGGAGTGGAAATGTATGGAAAAATGCATATGTAAATGACAGTGAGAATTATCTGAAGACATCTGTCTGTTCATCATCTGTTTTGTAAATGGATGAATGCTTTCAGAATGTACTTTTTTTTTTTTACACCACAATGTTATTTATAGGCTATCATGCACTGGCTTTACTGGTGCAGCCCATTTTAAGTACCTGTGAAATGAAGTTAGAGCGTCTTCAGCTTCTGTTTTTGACATATTTCACAGTGAAATTGAATATTTGAGTGCTGTACAGTTACCAAACTGATTTAAATCAAACCCTTCGCATTTGATTGGATGGCTACAAAGAGGGCAAGTTAAGAAGTTTAGATTCTCAGCTCCACACATGCCTCCCTCACCGTTAGATCAGGAGGAAGATGAGAGAGAGAGGAATGAATTAGACCTCTGCCACGTTGTTTTGGAAATGAAAGCAAAGGCTCTGCCTGCTAATACCCCAAAACACATCTCCTCCTATCTCTCGCCATATTACTCCATTAGCTACTGCAACCAGAGATGGTGTGTTACAACCCATGAATGGAAAAGTGTAGTTTTATGTGACTAGCATAGCTAGGTAGTCGCCCAAAGTCTTATTTGATCTGATGAACTTTTGTAAACGCCCCTGAGTATAGCAGCAGTTTTTTTTGAGAGCAAAGAATTCACTCAGAAACCACCTACTCCAATTTTCCAATTGGTTGAAACTGTGGCAAGTAGAACAGGGAAAAGCTTTTTGCACCCATTAGTAAATCAAATTAAAATCAGTCAGTCAAAATATAATTAACATGCGAGCAAATGATTCATTTTGCTATAGTCAAAATGCACTCAAAGCGAAAACACAACCATGGTGGAAGCAAAGGTTGTACATCAAAAGAAAACATCATCAATAACATAACCATTACGCTTCTTGTCCTAACAGGGTGCCATTGGTCTACCTGGTAACATCGGGGAGCAGGGTTTGATTGGCCAGAGAGTGAGTATCCCATGTTTTCTTTCTGTAAAGTCTTTGCAAGTTAAAGTGCTCTGGATCAAATATTCCAAAGTAGACACATCACTCCCAACACACAGTAAACCAGTTTGTTTTTAAAATGTACTCATAGTCAGTTTTTGCCAGTGTTTGACTTTCTGCACATCTGTTTTCGCTTCCTGTGACCACTGTCATCGTCACAATAAAACACATTGCAACCATAATATTTTTATGATTTGTCTACCAGGGTGAGCCAGGCATTGATGGGGAGGCTGGACCGAGTGGACCTGATGGAGCCAAGGCAAGTTCAAAAATAAAAGACAGACTGTGACTCAAAATTTGATTTATTCATCACTTTAATAAACCCAGTGTCTTTTACTCTAAGAGCCCACAGTAAATGGAAAAACATTGCCGTAAGAGTTTGGCCGGTGATCAAAATGTTGTCGTGAACTTCAACAAGGATGAATTCTTCCTGATTCTTATACGTCTGTGAACTTGGTGAGCTCTCCGGTCTACTGTAGCAGCTTATTGTAATTAGGGCAAGTCGACTTTTGTTTGTGAGATATTGGCCTTTGTACAGTTGGAGCTGCATGGTGTTGACACTTAGTGAAAACAGATAGTGGGGCTATTTTAAGAGCTCCAAAGTCTGGCAAGTATTGTGACAGAAAAAAAAAGATGGAAAGCACAGAAAGCCTGTTCAGCAGAGCCACACTGCTGGAAGTGTCGCTGACAAACCCTCAAACAACGTTTGGCTTAGAGAAGGTGGTAAAATGTGAGCAGGGAGAACACTCAGGATTAGAATAGACTCAACCTGAGAGTCTCTCTCAGCTTTGTGCTGTACAGGATGTTTTCTGTTAGTCAGGGGAGTAAACTGCTTTGAGGGCTTCTTGGCCGCAGTGCAGCTCCTGAATGGAAAACGGCAGCTCAAGAGGAATTTGCAGCTTGTGCTGTTAACGGAGGGAAAATCAGCACTTAGTTATGGTTCAGTGACGGATTAGTTGGTGAAATTTAAGATAGAAATTTAGCAAATAATCAGAGGATTGTGACATTATGTTCTTCCAGCAGGCTGTAGCAAATTGAATTTCTAGTTCTTGTTTCCACACTTTGTTAGAGTTCTGTTAGCAGAAACCTGTGGTGCTGTATATCTGCAATATCAGTTACTACAGAGAGAAGCCACGTTTGTTTCTTAATAAACCTCCATTAGGTTGACTAGGTTGAGCATGGAGACCAGGAAACATGGAAAAGAGGAAGAACAAATGAAGTGTATAGCCTCTCTCACACATCGTTTCCAGTACATTACAGGGAAAACCTTTAAGGCACCACTAGTGAGTTTCACTATTCACACATGCACTACATTCAGGAACTTTTTTTGCTTGCAAGTTGCAAGATGGAAATGTTCCTGAGATGGTCAGATCAGATCGACGGATAAGAGGAGCGGCTGCTGCAGAAGTGAGTGAGTGAGAGCAAAGTCTCTGTTGATGCAGTTACACAGGTTAGACCCAGTGCTGGACAATGAGGTCGCGATGTCCATGGTAATGCAGCTGGTTTCCTCAAAGTAGGTCGGAAAATTGATAGAAAAAACTGAAATGAGAGTGCAGTTGTTCTGAGAAATAAATTCTATTTCTATATGAATTAATGAAGTTTAGTCTTCACTGCAGCTTGTGTTGAGCTGCTCCGTCTGTGTCCAGAGTTCGCTCCAAGAGTGTAGTGCTCTGAATTATGGAATGGTACATGTGTATTTCAGCAGCACTCCAACTTAACCAGCTCCAAAAAACAGAAAACCAATGTGTGGCAGCAAATGCCGATATTAAGGTGGGCCCCCACAAATACATGAATTTGTGGGAAACTCCAGTGTTGGCACACCACAGCCAAACTTAACTAGTTTATACGTTGTGAACATTTATACTTGTGCTGGTGGTGTGTTTGTGTCACTCTGCAGTTACACCTCCAAAACACTAGATGGCGGTGGAGGTTTCTGTGAAGTGCTGTAAAATTTAGTTGATTCAAAATACAAATTAAATACATATTAAACATGGTGTAATAGCGAGACACTTTCAAACACATTACACAAATCAGCTTCACTATAACTCGCAACATTCACTGACAAACACTTGTCTTTATCTGGATACATTTTCCCCACAAATACAATATGCTAACGTTATTAGCACAAGCCTATGGCATTTTACATTGTAAAAATTAGCCTAGCGACTAGCAAAATTTTCCTCTTCTCATATGAAGCCAGGGACAACAGCAACATTTAACAAAGGTAACCTCACAAAATTCAACTCCATTACAACTCACAAGGTTCACCGACAAAACAACTGTCTTATACTAAACATCTTTTCCAAACAAATACAACATGCTAACGTTATTAGCACAAGCCTATGGCATCTTGCATTGTAAAAATTAGCCTAGTGACCAGAGAACTTTTCTTCTTCTCATATGAAGCCAGGAACAACTGCAACATTTAACAAAAGGTAATGTTACATAATTTGGCTCCATTACAACTCACAAGGTTCACTGACAAAACAGCTGTCTAATAATAAACACGTTTTCCAAACAAATACAACATGCTAACGTTACTAGCACAAGCCTATAGCATTTTACATTGTAAAAATTAGCCTAGCGACTAGCAAAATTTTCCTCTTCTCATATGAAGCCAGGGACAACAGCAACATTTAACAAAGGTAACGTTACAAAATTCAACTCTATTACGACTCACAAGGTTCACCAACGAAACAACTGTCTTACGCTAAACATGTTTTCCAAACAAATACAGCATGCTAACATTTTTAGCACACTGAGGTTTCAGCTTACAAAAATAGACAGGAGGTCTGTGTCACCGCGATGTGGTTACATTCACAAATTTTTGTGAATTTTCACTTAGAAATGTAGCTATCTTGGTAGGTAGCAGGTAGCTAATGTCTAATCTCTCGGCTTAGTTAACAATGATTGCGCATTACTCTCCTAGAGCTACGTCAGTAACCAATAATGCCACATCGTTCACTCATGCAGGCGAAGGACAGTCCAGCAGATGGCGGTAATGCAACATTTACAGATGCCAATTGCTAAAAAAAAATCAACAGAAGAGGGAGATGGTGCAAGGCTGGATGTATGTGTACGCAGTGGAGGATGTCTGGTATTATTTTAAGAAACATGGCAGACGAGGAGCAGTTTTTATCCAGTGCTAAATTTCTTAAGCAGGTTTGCAAAACAGTTATCAGAACAGCCCTGGGGTGAATGCTTAACTGTAACCAAATTGCAGATTAAACTATGTCATCATCAGAGTCTTGTGATTGGTTACCTTGCTGCACCTCACAGCATCTTTAGTCAGCTGGATGAAACCCTTTATGTGCCTGTCTCTGCAGTTTTACGCTTTTCATTCACAACACAGCTGTTCCAGCATTTTCTCTGAAAAGTTATTAGGTGCTGAGGTGGGAAATTGGCAGTACAGACTTCCCTGAAAACGGATCCCTGTTCCCATTTCCATATGCTCCCATCCATGCAGAAAATGCTCTTGAACATTATAGGGATAGACTACAAGCTACTAAGAATTTATAAGAAGTCAAAGCTAAAAGCATCTTAACATAAAGTCGAATGATGGGTTTGTCAGTGTGTTGTAGATTCCATTCTGTTCTCTAGTATAATCAGTAGGTGGGAGCACATTGCACTGGTTTTCATCTTGTCTCCTCAACAGATGTTTCTCAGTGTCTGTATGGAAATATCAGTCTTCCTCTGCTCCTGTTAGGCTATTCATGTTTCCATATTCCAAAAGGCTTTATTTACATTTTTTCCACTTGGACAGACTATTAGTGTTTTTGGTTTTGCTTCCTACTCTTGTTACACAGACAGGCCTTGCTTTATTTTCCCCTGAAACTACTGTTGGACATGTTGGCTATTTACAAAACCGCTTGTTTGCTATGAAAGGTTGTTGGCCCACAGTTTTTTAGTTGTGATAATGTAGCATCAGATGTGCAGCTGAGCCTCGGCCCACTTTTAAGCAGCAAGCGATGCACCTTGAAAATGTCAAGTCATGCTGACTGTCTTATTTTCCCTTGGAAGAAATATGTCCAAATTACAGCCTGTTGTGTCTCACTAATAAATCATTTATGTTTTATTCTGTCTAAACAACTGTAACTCTACATGCCCAAGCTGCCAGTGTAGTAACTGCAGCTAGGATGCTGCATCAAGACGTTTATTTAGAGCTCAGATCTCCCCTGTCCTGGGCTCACATCTTTGTGGCGTGTGAATACAGGATAAGATTGAAGTTTTATTTATAACCTGCAGTGCTCCCAGAATCAAACTGCTGCTCAGACAGGGGTTCATTGGATCAGTCCTGCTGCTGTCAGAATTCAAAAATAAGGGTGACAGAGCTTCGTTGCTTCGTTGCTGTGGCCCTCCAGGCTTTGCAGTGACCTTCCTGCAGACATTTTGTCAGCTGATAATGTGGATTAAAAACTATAAGCACAGACAGTCGTGGGTGTATTATATGTGGTGAAGGTCTTTTGTCATTTATTTATTTATTTTTGACTCATAAAAAAAGTTTTTATTGGATAAAAATATTATTTCTTTCAGTCTGAATATTTTATTCAAATTTATTCACACTGCAACGGACCTAAATCCTGGCTAAGGCAACTCTATTGTGTCATCATCTTCTTCATTGGACTTGTATTGCTCCTCTCAGGGTGACAAGGGGGATGCTGGTCAGGAAGGAGCGAAAGGAGACAGGGGTGAAATCGGTCTAAAAGGAAAGGAAGGACCTCCGGGGCATCCTGGACTGGTGGGTGTAAGGGTGAGTGTCTCAACAGCTCCAACTCCAAATTTCATTCAGTTCCCATGAAAGGATGGCTTTTTGTCCTCTTACAACCCTGTTTGATTTTCTTCCACCAGGGTCAAGAGGGTAAACCTGGCAAAATTGGTGACAGAGGAAAACCAGGAGAAAAGGTTTGTCAGTTCACTCGCTTGGGGCTTATCCACACCTTTCATTCTTGGATGTCGGTCAATTTGCTCTCTTGTACGAGGGGTTGAATAGTTCTCTGCTGTAGGGGTAAACAAACAGTAACAGGTCGGTAACCTCCGTAAGCGTGACAGTGGAAGTGCTCGTCAAATAGACTTTTCAGTATTAAATGTTTGAATTGTGAAACTACCCACATAACTGCTCGGGGAAGTTTGTACTCTCACTGCATACTTGCTCACTGACGGACTCTCTCCAGGGGAGCAAGGGTCACCAAGGTCACCTGGGTGAGACTGGGCCAGCCGGTGACCAGGGAGAGGTGGGGTTTGTCGGACAGAAGGGGGCGAGAGGAACCATCGGGCCAGTGGTAAGACATCCACAGATGGTTTGAAAGGCTTGCTTGGTTGTTGGTGGATGTGGGCTAAATATATTTGTATTTATTTCCCCAGGGTGCTCCGGGGAGAATGGGCCAACAAGGAGAGCCAGGTGTATCAGGTTATCAGGTGAGTAATGTTTCTCAGTGTGAGTGACCTCACAAACATCTTTAATCTGCTGTCTATTCATAAATGTTAAAAACAGTGACTGTCAACATTTTAAGCCCCTAAAATAAAGGCCTTCTATCTCTCTATGAAAACCTTTGATTTTTATATCTATGCCACATAGTCGTGTATGTGGTCTGTGGGTAGAAAGACAAACATTTCGGTTGCTAGGCCTGTCAGTTATTTTTGTTGGACGAAGATATAGTCCCAGAATTATTGCAATAAACAATATTGTCATTTTAAGACTATTTCATGCCACTTATGTAATGATAATGACCCAAAATAACCACATAAACACCTTTAAAACAATCAAATCCATGGGATTTATTAGATTGAAAACAAGCAAACAAGACAACAAAAATCCTTCGGTGAGAGGCAGCAGTTCACACACCAGAAGCCTCTCTCCTTTGCTGCTGGCACAAGAGCTCTTAAGCACCTCCTCCATGCCAGGTGTAGTGCACCTCGTTAACTAATGCAGCACACCTGGGCAGATCTACAAGGGAGGGAAAAGGGACAGCAGCACAGAACACATACACAAGCCGTAACATAATGCAAGTCCACCCTTTCAAAGAGTAATGACCTGTAATTAATGTGTGTTGATATATACAAGAAAGTATACATTAAATCACTTTGGTGTCCATAGGGGGCGTGGTGATGAGAGCCTACTCCAGATGACGTATTGCTAGTCTGATTTATGTAGTGTGTGTGTGTGTGGGATTTAACTTGATATTATTTCTACACTACAAAGCACTTTTCCCCCTCACAACCCAAAAGCCTGGATTGATTTCTTGAAGGTGTTTCATCTGGGTTTATATTTCACACAGAACATTATCGAATGATAATATTGACCTGCGAGTGGATAGTGTGTATTGTTCTGGTGTTGATGAATCACAGGCTGGCCCTCGTTTGCTGGCGTTTTGTTCTTCCTCTTTGCCCCACAGTCTGGGGAATCCTCTGCTCCGATGTGTAGTTTTAGTAAATTTATGTTTAATGCAGTGCAGGTCAAATAACTCAACTTTGCTTTCTCATTATTCTTTGCCATTTAAAAGGTATAAATGAGGGTAAAATGTAACATATTATCTTGATTAATGGCGCTGCGTGACGTAAAACCTTAGGTGACTTAAATTATTTTTTCGTTTTAAAATTGGCCACTAGTGGGCAAACACCAAAACAACTTTTTTTTGTACTATGGTGGACATACAAGGACAAATACAAGATGGGAGTGGCCATGTGTGCTTGCAGCTAGCTAAATGTACCTCTGATCTATCTACCCATGCCAACGAAAAAGAGACTTTATGTTAGGTTACTTAAAAGTCTGGAGAATCTTCTCATTTGCAGTAGATTTTTGACAACAAACTATCGTTTTTTGTACAGCAGAATAAAAATAGCAGTATTACTGGTCATTACCAGTGCATGCACATAATAGATGCAGGGTAAGATCAGGGTTGAGAAAACGATCATTGCAGATGTAAGACTACAGTATAATCAAATTGTCAACACACATAACCACGACTCGACTGATGGTCCCCAAAATTGCATTCTCCATGGCAACAAAAGATGAAGTGATGATTGATGACGCTGTTACAACCTCAGTTTACACAAGTTTCATCCCCCTCTGTCTCTGCCTCCATGTGATTCTCCACATTATGAGCGTAATATTTCACACAGTAAATTGGGAGTGAAGGCTGAGAGGTTGCGATCACAAACTCTTTTCTTGTCACAGGGTCACATGGGACCGCAGGGCCCCCTGGGACCTCCTGGGCCGAAAGGTGAAAAGGTAAATTACCACATTTACTCGCTGTCCCTAATAGCCGTCTGCTCTTTGATTGTATCTAATGAGCTCTGGAGGCCTGGAGTGGGTGCATTACTTAACACTGTAACACTGTCGTACAGCTTATTGTCTTTAAGTGCATGGTCAGTTTTTTTTATGCATTGAAACTACAGTTGTGTCCCTAATGAGTGCTCCCTCTGTCTGTCTTGTTGCTCTTGCAGCACTCCTGAAGTCATCCCTAATTTGATCAATGATATGAACTAAGACACATCCAATTAACTCTGTGCTGTCAAATGTATATAATTAGCCAAACACCTGGTCTGCTCATGATTTTGGGGATATTAGCACCATAACTTGTGTTTATTTGACAGGAGCAGCACTCAATAGAACACATTGCACCAGAATTTAGTGAGACACTAATTTGCATTTTTTTTAGTCCCTTGGCAGGAGCCATCTGGATGTGGATATTTGTTATTTTCTCTTTGCCAATACCCACGAAATAACGCCGGCGCTTGCTTTCTAATTAAATCAGTGTCATGCTATCACACAGGTCGCTGCAAAATGCATGATTGTCAATTGACAGAGCCAGGTAACTCTGGCACTGAAGCAAACTGCTGATAAATACAGATCGCTATCACAGTTTTATTAAAAGGACTAATGCTGCAATATATTGCTTTCATCCATGTACGTGTCAGCTTTGCTCGGCCCCCAGCCACCACTAATTATTCTCCCACTTTTAGATGCCTGTTGGGCTCTACATTTATTTATTTATTTAATTTGACACATGCACCACACATGAATATTAAAATTATACGCACATCCATGGTTATTGTTTAATGAATCCCATAAAGCGCCTGCAACAGACATTGGCTCCATTTATGTAAAATGGGATCATTGTGGGTAATAGCGCATGTAATGATTTGCAATTCATATAAAGAGAGCAGGCAATGTGTTCCCATTGTTGTACTCTTTCAAACAAAACATGCATTGATTTTGCACAGACCATTGGCTTTGAGGGAAATTCCATTGATTGCGGTTGTTTGTCTGTGTCTATATTACTCGTTCAGGGCGAACAGGGCGACGACGGCAAGGTAGAAGGTCCTCCAGGTCCCCAAGGTGACAGAGTGAGTTTCTTACATGTGCTCGTTTTTCCTGTGTGGTTTGTTAGCGGTGGTCACGATTGGTTAATTAATTTGTTTCCCTGTGAACAAAGGGTCCCCCTGGAAACAGAGGAGAGAGAGGAGAGCCAGGCGACCCCGGATACATCGTAAGTGGATTAAAAAAGCGGACACACTTTTTGTCTTCAGATATGGTGTCGGTAAGGTTTGAGCTATGATCTGTTCTGTTCTGTTTTCCAGGGTCATATTGGTGTAGATGGAAAAAGAGGTGAAGCTGGTGCCCCGGGGCTTCCTGTAAGTGTCTCATTCATGTTGTAGGTGTACTTATGCAGGAATTGTTTTCACGCAGCACTGCTTACATTCACTACAAGTTACTATTGCAGGAATATTACATGTGTTATAATAGGACAGATAAGATGGATCATGCTTTTCAACATTCCAAACAAGATTACTGTATTCATTTTTGTTTGTACAAATTTGGAGTGAATAAAGAAAGGAGCATCATGCAGTAGTTTGGGCACCCTGAGACATTTGAGCTCTCATGCAACTTCTACCAGGGTCTCAGACCTTAATTGGCTTGTTAGTGCAGTGACTTGTTCACAGTCATTGTTAGGAAAGTCCAGGTGATGCAAATTGCAAAGCATACTGTGACTCCTGAAACCCTGTCCCGTCAATCACAGCCAACAGCAGCTTGTGACTTGCTAAGCTATTCACAGTAAACAAGATTTTCATCCGGGGTGCCCAAACTTTTGCATGTTGATAAATGATATATTTTGGGCGGGGCAACACAATGGTTTGAATTGAAGGTGTGAGAAAGAATAGTATCAGTAACATTAACACTGTGCTACATTACAGAGAAATACAAAACCGTACTAATGAACCCTCATTGATGTATGTAGTATATTATAGAGAGAACTGGAGCCAACAGCGTGACTCAGACATCTGTTCAGTTTAAAGTGGATTTATTTTCACTAAGGCAAGACAGGGTGTCTTGTGTCGATCCAGGGCATTTGGGGGAAACAGGTTGGCAGGCGGGGGTGGCAGGCAAGTGGGTGACCAGCAAGTGTGGCTCTGAGGCACAGAGAAACAAGGTTTAAGCAAAAAAAAACCTAGAGGAGAGAAAGTAACAAGCAACAAACTGGCTGTAGTTCACACTGCAAGGTAGACTGAACGATCTGGCAGAGACAGGACTGTGAGCCAGGGTATTTGTACTGCTGGGGTTGATTAGTGGATGGCTTTCAGGTGAGCAGGCTGATTGGCAGCAGGAGTGATGAGAGCCACGCCCAGACACACAGACACAGAGAGACAAACAAGGAGCCACAAGAAACAACAGCACGAGGAATGAAGGAAAGGCACAAACTATGACAATATGGGCCTATATTTTATATATGTTCGTCCTTCACCTTCTCAAAATGATCCCACATTTTGGATTTCCTGCTCGACATGTTATTAACTATCCTGTGGAATAACTTCAGGTACCAGCCCTGTAAGTTAAGGTGACTCCTGTCTGATTGCTGAGCGTGGACACTTCCTGTGTCTGTCCTTTCAAATTAAATTCCCACTTGATCCAGTCCAGTGGTCCATTTTTTTTTTCCTGCGACTAAGCAACCGGTGAAATCTTGCCGACTAATGACCTTTATGGTCGACCATTAGGGGCCAGCCCTACATGCAACTGTACCTGTCCAACAGAAAACTAGCCAGCTCCGCGTTTCTCTTCATTCCTATCCTTTTGTATTCACCAGCGTAATTGAAAGCCAACCCCAGATTCAGTCTTGTTTAGGAACGAGCTTTGTCTGCTTGCACCTCTCTATATTTGCTATTTTTTCTTTGCTGTTTCTGCGATTTTCGTTGCTTTCTTTTAGATGTGAGCTGCTTACGACCATATCTGGTTGCTCCTTTTTTTATAAAGTCCGGCCCACAAATCCTGACCTCACCTGTGTGCTGTTATTGGCTGGGGGCTCCACATCCACCGGGGCCCATAAATGTCCGCCTACAGCAAATTTAAGAGTCCCGACACACTTCTAGTGCGTTATAAGTGAAAATTGAGAGGGATTACTTTTGTTATGAGGTATAGATTGTTGTGTTTTGGGAAAATTCTGCATAGTATCACCAGATATCAGATATATAGACACTTCACTGTCCAAACACAGCTAGTATTATTTAACTCACACAGTGATGATCTTTTCAGGGACATCCTGGACCAAAGGGACAACCAGGATTGAAAGGATCCAAAGGTGACCAAGTAAGGACATACATATGGTGGCATGTTTATTTTCTGTATTAGAAAAGTCATTTCATGTAGTATTATTGGCCTGGGTTTTCTGTCATGTAACCGTGTCAGAACTGTGGAACATGAAGTCTTTCTTCTCCAGGGTAGGAAAGGAAAATCAGGGGCGAGAGGCACATCAGGAACCAAAGGACCACCAGTGAGTTAATTTCTCGTCCTACTATAGAGTGAGACATTTGAGCTACCTGTTAGTGTTTAAAATCAATGCAAGCTTTGACATTAACATTTCAAACTGTCTCCTCTAAGGGTCCAGAGGGTCATCTTGGCCCGCGGGGAGTCGTGGGCAGGGAGGGACTTGAGGGCCTGCCTGGCACAGATGGACTGCCTGGTAAAGATGGAAGCAAAGGAGTCAAGGTGAGGACGCTGTCAGTGGTGCACCTTTTGAATGACTGAAAATAAAACCAGCCCTCGTTGCTATTCACCAATCGTCTGTGTTCAGGGGGAGCAAGGAGATGATGGACAAATGGGCTTACCTGGTAAACCTGGGCATCCTGGTACAACTGGTGTGATCGGGCTTCCTGGAAGTCAAGGCTCTATCGGACCAAAGGTGACAATGATGGGTGGACAGTATGTCCTGCTTTTTTTTTCTTTCATTATTTTATCTGCTGAGCCAAGAGTGCAAAGTTTTAATCTGGCTCACAAAGAACTTTAATGTTAAGCTATAGCACAAGCTTTTTCTGTACATCCCAATGATTTTATTGCCAATATCAAGTGGAAATTGCCAGCTCAGCTTTAATCTGCCAGGGTTGCCTCCCTTGGCACCGCAGTGCTGCCTTTATGTTTGGAGTGTGTTCTAATCTCAAATGCCAAACTCTGCACAAGTCTTTACACCACATCTCTAAAGACCTCTTATTCACAGCATTAATTTTGGGAAGTTCGTGTTGCAAATGTTAATGAGTTGGCACTGTCTTGATTTGCACGGCCCTGCCAATATAACATTAAATTTAAATATGCATGACTGTGAGAAACACAGAGAGGCTTTATGTGTTAATATTAGGTGATTTTCACTTCCCTGCACAAAGTTAAAGAGTAAAGTTGCATTCTGATTTGGTCGTGTTGGTGATCCATGTGCAAACATTTATAAAGCTACGTTCAGACTGAAGTATATGGCTTAAATTTGTTTTATTTCTTAACAGTGTGAACAGCACAAATCTCATGGAATCTCATCTTTTCAGTTCCGATTTAAGTTTAGATTTTTGGTCACTCTAGATCAGGCCCGCCATCAGGGGGTCAAACGTCAACATTTTGTACCCCTGTCCTTAATTTCTAATGTCTAGTCTGCTCTAAATCAACATTCACCACAATTCTGCGCTAGTGGAGAATCAGTCACTCAGTGAAATACAAACATGGAAAACAGCTGTGATGATGTATTTGAATTTTGCTTGTACGGAAACACACATCAAAGGGTCGTAGTGTAACTGGTCTGTGTTTAAAAGCATATCATAACAAAGGCCAGACGGGGGCCACAGAAGACATGGCTGCAGTGTTAGAGAAAAGTTAAGAGCCTCAAAGCCAAGTTTTGTATTCCCGCACACCTCCATATAAAAGCAGCCATTGCTCCACAAAACGCCATAATTAAAGTGTTGTCTCTCTTTCTGCTCACCCACATTATCATCTGCTCGTAAATTTGCTGGCTTCCACTGTATATCAACTTTTAAATTAAACCATAAATGCTGACTTCAGTGGCTTTTATGTTTACTTCGGTATGACAGCACGTTGTGTGTAACGTCTTTGTTGTTGTTCTTTTGTGCATGTGGATAAGTTAATAATAAAATAAATTTGAACTGAGCACTTACGCTGCATTTATACCAAATCAGGGGTTGTAGGTGATTAGCCAGTGTTGTGCGGCAGTGTGGGAGCGTCACTTACATGGCCCGTTTGTGAGACTCGCTATAGAAAGCCAGTCATCCCATCTCAGCAACTAAGTATTTCTCTTCAGTAAGTTTCTTGATGTTGGCTTGAAAGATCTGTAGATTACATACATTTATTTTACTCACTATAATATTTACAGATAAAAAGAGACTCTATTACTTGTTCCTGTGAACTGTGAGTGTCATTCAGTCTGATTCCTGGTTAGTAGGGGTGTAACGATACACAAAAATCTCGGTTCGGTACATACCTTGGTACACAAGTCACGGTTCGGTTTTTTTTGGTACAGTAATGAAAAAAATAGACAACTATTAAATATCTTTTACTTATTGGTAACCTTATTAAAACATACCACCACAGCAGTTAACTCTTTTTACACAATTTTTGAATTAAACAAATATATATA